GATGTACCAGCTCTCATGCAGCTCTCTCACTTCACACTGCTCCAGGCAGGAGGGAGCAGGAGCAGCCATGGAGCTCACTACAGCTGGTGCAGGTCTGAGGGATTGTAGCAGCAGGAATTCAGGGTTATTTTTCCCCACAGGCTAAGACACATCTCTGTGAGCTGGCACTGCAATGGGGTCTCTGATTAGCACACAGGAGGGAAAAGCTGAAATAGTTTGAGTGCCAGTAATCCCAGTCCTAAAGCTGCCTTCAGTCCTTCATTGCTGCTGAGGAAGAGATTAACACCTGAAATATTCACGCTGCACTCACAGATCCATCCCGGTGGAATTCACACGTGCACCACTGGCCCCACAGACCCAACCACAATGGCCACTACAATGGCTGCATGTGTGCCCTTTTACAGAGCCTCCAACGGCTCATTCTTCCTCCTTAAACCAACAACTGAACCTTCCCTTTGGAAAAAGAAAGAAAACCCTCCAGAGCAGCAGCAGGGACACAACCTCAGAGCTACAGCAGGGGCCTGAGGGGGCTCCACAGCAGAATCCAGGAGCAGCTTGAAGCAAAGGGTGTTGCAAACACCACCAGAGCCTCCGTGACAGCTCCTTTGGAAAAGGAAAGGAACAACTGGATGTGTTTCCAGCTCCTTCTCCTCAGGTACCACAGTGAGAAAGGATCAACCCTCAATGTGAGAGCAGGAGAGTCCTTCAGGCCAGCCTGATCCAGCTCTGCTCCGACACCACTCTCCAGCCACAATGGGAATGAGCCAACACCAGGAATTCTGGGATGGCTGCACCAGCACCTCTGCTTTCCATTCTTTTCCACATGAGCTGCTCAAGACAAGACGAAGTCCCACCCTAATTGGTATTTCAGAGGCAAAGCCAGCACACCAGAAGCAAAACCCGAGCTCCTGGATATTCCCAGGCTCTGGAGTTTGGTCAGCACACCTTAAAATACGGCCCTAATTTATTCCTTTTAACTCAACCGCTGCTCATTAGCAGGAGCTTGTCTTAAAAGTGATTTCACAAGAGGCCTTTTGTCAAATTTACACTGGCATTTGTCAGTTTGAGATTAAGCCCTGCGTTCACCAACTTGATACCCCGCTCACACTAAAGCATAAATTAACATTTTAATGGAGCTCCGATCTATTGGAGGCCCCTTCACTACAAGCTCATTATATTTCACCTCCCCAAAAGTCCCTTTCCCTGCTTTGCTGAGCCGGGCCAGGCTTTAGGACAGACTCCAGCTTTCCCTGTCAAAGGGAAGAAGCTTTTCCTCCTAAGCCATTCCTCCTCCTCAAAGGAAGAGCCTTGAAAGGAATGAAAGCAACTGGGACAGTTGGGTGTCCCACAGCTCACACCTTCCTTTGTGCCACATTGCAGGGGTGTCACCCTTCTCCCCAGACCCCAAAGAGGGGCGTGATAACCCAGCTGTGCCTTCGGTGGGGCCCTGTGAGCAGCCCCATCAATCACAGCACCCAAAGCACGGGAGGAATCGCCTGGATTTCAATTTAATCTCCATGCCAGGGGAAGTGGGGGAACCCCACTGGGCCAAGCCCAAAGAGATCCCTTTGTCAGGCCACCTTTCTCCACCAACAGGAGGGAACAAAAGCAGGAAAGGCCAGTTGCACAAGGAGGAAAACCTTTCCACCATATTGGATTTTCTTCCCCCCTTCTCCAAACAATGCCTCGCATTTGGAACCTGCAGTCCGCCCTCCCGTGGCATCCCCCGGCCTCCGGGGATGCAGGAACGGGCAGAAATCCTCCTGCAAACCTCCCGGGCAGCAGCACTGCCATGTTTTGTGTTTTTTGGTTTTTTTTTTTCCCCAGGGCTGCCTGCGGCGCGGGCTGCATCCTCCACAATAGGACAAAGCCCCACCAGGGCTCATCCCCTCCCTCCGCCGCACCCCCATCAGCTGTCAGCTCTCCTCAGGGATCACCGGGATGCAGCGACATCGCAGAAAAGGGGCTTGTTTTTTTTTTTTGGAGGGGGGAATAAGGGAAATTTGACAGGCTCGCCAGCCTCCCATCCCCCTCCTGCTGCAGTCAGGGTTGGATGGAGCCGAAGGCTGCAAAGGCGGAGCGGGAATGGGGATGGAGAGGGGGGGGATAACCACGGCTGCCTCCACCCTGCACGGACCTGCAGCCACGTTAGGGTTGTGGTACGGGGGGGGCGGGGGAAGAGATGCGTGAATGGAAAAAAATAAGGTAATAATTTAAAAAATAAATAAAAGGCAATAAATGCCCGTCGGCGTTTTATTGTCCGAGTCTCCCCACGCCCTCCCTCCGCAAAACAACCGCATTTCCTGGGGCCCTCTGGGAACGGCGGGGATCGGGGACGGGGGTGTATCCAAACACGAGGAGCTGGTATAAAATATATAAATATATAAATATAAATATATATATATATATATATATATATATATATATATATATATAATATAAAAAGCCCACCCGGGGGTCCAGTTAGGGATGGGGAGAAGGATCCAGGGTGGGGATGGGATTGGGGCTGGGGGTGCTGTGAGAATTAACGATGGGGAAACGAGCCAGGAGTCCCCCGGGGGGTCACACGCACCAGACCCCCGGGTAATGTTGAGGGGCGGAGGGGGAGGATCCCAGGCTGGGCTGGAGATGAATGGGAAAGAATCCAGGGTGGGGGTGGGACTGAAGCCGAGGGGGTGCTGTGATAATTAATGATAGGGGAAAGCACCCAGGGGGTCCCCCAAGGCTCACATACACCAGACCCCCGGGAATTCTGGAGATGGGGACAGGGGGAAGAATCCAGACAGAGGCGGGGGGGCTACGATGGACAGGTGACAGCTGAAGAAAACGGCCTGAATGGGGCGAGTGGGGTGAGAATCAGGTGAGAGACTGGGGAGGGCACCGCACACCCTGGGGGAGGGGATAAAGCCCCGAGCGCCCCAGGCGGGGGGGGGCTCAAACCCAGCCTGGGGGGGATGATCAGGTGATAGACGGGCAAAGGACAGCGGCGCCGGGGGGGGTGAGACATGGGGAAGGGGGTCAGCCGCAGGAGCCGGGGGATGGCGGAGGGGGGGCGGCGGGGCGGGGCAGGGCAGGGCGGCGGCCACCCGCAGCAGGCCCGAGGCGCGAGCGGGCGGCGGCTGCTCCTCACCGTGAGGCCGGTGCCCAGCACGATCACGTCGTACTCCTCATTCATGGCGGCGCGCGGTGTCTCGGGGGTCTCTCGGCCGGGGCTGAGGCGAACCGGGCGCTACGCGGGGGCCGCGGGAGCGCGAGAAAATGGAGCCGCCGCCGTGAGGGGACCGCGCCGGGAGGGGCGGGGCCGGGCCACCTGCGTCCCGCCCACGCGCCTGCCAATCACAGCCCGATACGCCACGCCATTGGCTGGCGGGGCCGTCACTCAAGGGGCGGGAGCGATGCGCGCGCGAGCGGCGCTGCCACCGTGGTGGGGGCGCGGCGCGCATGCGCAGTTCCATGGCTGCCCTGTGGGCTCGGTGTGCGCGGGGGGGGAGCCTTTATATTGGGGGGGGGTTTCCTAAATTTGGGGGTGCTCCTTAATTTATGGGGTTCCCAATTTGGGGGAGACTTCAGTTTAGGGAGCCCTCAATTTGGGAGAGTCCTCAGTTTGGGGAAGTCTCAGTTTAGGGGGGCCCTTCAATGGGGGGTGGTCCTCAATTTTCATGGATCCTCCATTTGGGGGATTCCTCAGTTTAGGGAATTTCCTCAATTTGGAGAAGGGCCCTTGATTTATGGGGGGGGTTTCCTTATTTGGGGACAGACCCAGGTTTGGGGGGTCCTCAGTTCTGGTGGGCTCCTTAACCTGGGGGGGTCCTTTATTTAGGGTATTCATCAGTTTGGGGAAGTTCTCAGTCTGAGGGGGGATCCTCCATTTAGGGGGTTCTCAATTTGGGTTTTTTTCCTCAATTTAGGGGAGGATCCTCTATTGGGGGAGGGGTCTTAATTTTGGGGGACCTCTCATTGGTGGGGGATACAATTGAAAGGGTTTCTCTTTTTGGGGGAGTCCCCTGTTTGGGGGATCCTTAATTTCAAGGGGATCCTCAGTTTGGGGATGTTCCTTAGTATTGGAAAGGTCCTCAATTTAGGGGGTTCTTTGGGGAGCCTCCTTAATTGAGGGAGGTTCTTAATTAGGGTGGGTTGTCAGTTTAGTGGGGCCTTTAAATGAGGGGTTCCTCATTTTAGGGGGGCTTTAATTGGACCCCCCAATCCCTCCACAGCTGATGCTTTTCCATCCCATCCCAGGCACCCCATGAACCACTTTTGATAGGAAATTTGCCAACTATCCCAACAAACACCCCTAATTAGGCTGCATTCCTATTTCCCAAAACCCTGTTTGAGAAGAAAAACAACAGGAAGGAAAAGTTTTTGGAAAAAGCAGAATTCCCTGGAGGAATTTTGCAGGCATAAAGCTGAATCCACATTCCTTTTTTAACCCTCAAAATAATGCACGTTCCACTTTGTGTTTTGAAGGTGCTCCCATGTTTTAAGGGGTTTCCCCTCTGTGTTTCCATGGATATTTGGGAACATTGCCACTGTTTTTTCTCATCAGCAATACTGGGAGGACACAGCTATTCCATGGCTTATTAAAATGATAAAAAGTGGGAATGAAGCAGCTCCTTGCATTTCCTGCTGTAGGGAGGCCAGAGCTGGATTTAGGGATCCATGGATCCTTAAATTTTAAATTGAAGGACTAAATTTAAATTTAATCCTTTAAATTTTTTTATTCCTTTTGGAGGAATAAAATAATTTCCTCACCCACCCAGGGGCTGATCCAGGGATAGCAAGGTGGGAATTTCCCACTCAAACCCAGCCATGGCTCGTGGTGCACACCTTAACTTACTCCCTTCTGGATTTTTAATATTTGCCATGCCCAAAAAAGCAGAATCCCATCTGGTTTTAACTCTTGGCATCACAAACAGAGAACACATCAGTTTTTGATGGAATTTATAATTCCAGCTGCACAAACCCAACAGCTGCAGCTGCTCTTACCTTGTTACCTTGCTGGGTATTCCAGGCTCCCAAGAGCAGATTGTTGGGATTTAAAGTTCATCAGTGCTGGGAATTCCCAGCATTCCAGTCTGGGATAAAACACCTCCTTACTTTAGTCTGATCCAGAGATCCCTGGTGTCCTCACAAGGCTGAGGTCCCACTACAGATTCCTGCAGGTGTTGGGATCAGCTGTGGGCCACAAAAAGGATTCAAAAGGTTGAAGCAGCTTCAGGAGTTTCTGTCCTACCCAAAGAGGTCAAATTAAAAATTAACTTGCAAATTAAAGCAGTTTAAGGGATTAGTGGAGAGCAGGTCCATGAAGAGCTAGGAAATCCATGATCCAGGTGGATCTTCTGCATGGGGATGTTCAGGGTGGGGAAATTCTCAGGAAAAGCCACGAGGATCCCTGGAAGTGACACTTCCCTTGGCTGGTTCTGTTTCAGGGAGCTGCACAGAAGAGGTGAAAGAAGAAAATACAATTTATAACAATGCATCAGAACAGGAATGTGATAAAAACATGGAAGTGTTTGGGTGGGAAGGGACCTTAAAGATCATCTCATCCCAATGGACAAGGACACCTGCCACTGTCCCAGGTTGCTCCAGCCTGGCCTTGGACACTTCCAGGGGTGGAGCAGCCATAACTTTTTTGGGAAACCTGTGCCAGGGCCTCCCCACCCTCCCAGGGAAGAGCCCAGACCCACCATGTCCATTATCTTTTGAGATAATCCTATTTAAAACATTTCTCCTAAATCTACTCCCAAATGCCAAGCTTGGCTCCTCTGCTCAAATTTGGGTAAAACCCCTCAGTTTATGGGGGGTTCTTTATTTGGGGACACACCTAAACTTGGGGGGATCCTCAGTTTTGGGGGGCTCCTTAACCTGGGGGGTTCCTCTGTTTAGGGTATTTGTCAATTTAAGGGAGTTTTCAGTCTGGGGAGGGGTCTCCAATTTAGGGGGTCTTCAATTTGAGGGGTTTTTACCTCAGTTTAGGGGATGATCCTCTATTTGAGGGGAGTTCTTAATTTTGGAGGTGCTCCTGTTAGTGGGGGATACAATTGAAGGGAGTTCTCTTTATGGGGCAAGTCCCCTGTGTGGGGGATCCTTCATTTAAAGAGGTTCCTCACTTTGAGGATCAAATTGGGGATTTAAATCAGCTCTTTCCCTAAATCTGGCAAGGAATTGTAGGGGGAGAGAACGTAAGAAAATAAAGATTGTGTGGAAGGTAATCTTACCCCTAAGGAGCTGCAGCTGGGCCAGTTATCAAAGATTAGGAACAGGCCTGACTTTAACAGGCCACAGCTGTACCCAATGAGAAGAAGAGGGCTATAAAAGAGTGGGGTGGCCTTGAGAAGGGAACTGGAGTCAGTTGGGTGCTTTGTGAAGAAGAAAGAGTCAGAGCTCTGAGAAGCTGCCCATGAGAAACATCAAGGAGGTGTGAAACTTTTGTGATAGGAGACAACTTTTGTGACATGGAGCCCCTGCAGTAAGATGCCAACAGATCCTCAGTCAGTTCTGGGGTCACCCCAGGCTGGGTGGGATGTGCATCTGCCAGAGGGATCTGGACAGGCTGGATCCATGGGCTGAGGCACAGCAGGACCCTGTGCTGGGCTGTGCCCTTCAGTGACCATCACATCCCGTGCCACAGGCTCCATCCCACAGCTGGACTTGGGATGGGAAAAGCAGTTTATTGTGGGGGATAGAATGTAAGAAAATAAAGATTGTGTGGAAAGTGATCTTACCCCTAAGGAGCTGCAGCTGGGCCAGTTATCAAAGATTAGGAACAGACCTGACTTTAACAGGCCACAGCTGTGTCCAGTGAGGATGAGTGCTGTAAAAGAGTGGGTTAGGGGGGTGAGGAGAGAGCTGGAGTTTGTTGGGTGCCTTGTGAAGGAGAAAGAGTCAGAGCTCTGAGGAGCTGCCCACGAGAAACACCAAGGAGGTGTGGAACCCCTGTGATAAGGAATAACCACTGTACCACGTGGAAAAGGAGCGGACTCCTCCTCTTCAGGTGCTGCCTGGTGTTCCCTGGAGGAGCTGGATGACATCAGGGCTCCTGGCCAGCTGCTGGGCCAGCGTTCCCGTGGCGTCAGGAGCATCCTGGAGCCCGGCCCGCAGCAGGATCCCCACGGCCCCCGCGCGCTGCCCGGCGCTGGCCACGTGCAGGGCTGGGGACACAACACCAGCCTGGTCACCTCCCAGCCCTGCCTCACCCTGCTCTGCAGGCAAACTGCATTCCCATGGGAACAAACAGGGGGAGGGGGAAAAACGAGTTTTGCCACTGTGGGATTGTGGAGGGGGTTGGGTTTTTGGGTTGGGATAGAATGGCAGGATTGAGCTTGGGATCATCCAGTTAAAGATCATCCAGTTCCACCTGGATGGGTTTTTGGGTTGGGATAGAATGGCAGGATTGAGTTTGGGATCATCCAGTTCCACCTGGATGGTTTTTGGGTTGGGATAGAATGGCAGGATTGAGTTTGGGAACATCCAGTTCCAGCTGGATGGTTTTTGGGTTGGGATAGAATGGCAGGATTGAGTTTGGGATCATCCAGTTCCAGCTGGATGGTTTTTGGGTTGGGATAGAATGGCAGGATTGAGTTTGGGGTCATCCAGTTCCAGCTGGATGGGTTTTGGGTTGGGATAGAATCACAGGATTGAGTTTGGGATCATCCAGTTCCAGCTGGATGGTTTTTGGGTTGGGATAGAATCACAGGATTGAGTTTGGGGTCATCCAGTTCCAGCTGGATGGTTTTTGGGTTGGGATAGAATCACAGGATTGAGTTTGGGATCATCCAGTTCCACCTGGATGGTTTTTGGGTTGGGATACAATCACAGGATTGAGTTTGGGATCATCCAGTTCCACCTGGATGGTTTTTGGGTTGGGATAGAATCACAGGATTGAGTTTGGGATCACCCAGTTCCACCTGGATGGGTTTTGGGTTGGGATAGAATCACAGGATTGAGTTTGGGATCATCCCGTTAAAGATCATCCAGTTCCACCTGGATGGGTTTTGGGTTGGGATAGAATCACAGGATTGAGTTTGGGATCATCCAGTTCCACCTGGATGGGTTTTGGGTTGGGATAGAATCACAGGATTGAGTTTGGGATCATCCATTTCCACCTGGATGGTTTTTGGGTTGGGATACAATCACAGGATTGAGTTTGGGATCATCCAGTTCCACCTGGATGGGTTTTGGGTTGGGATAGAATCACAGGATTGAGTTTGGGATCATCCAGTTAAAGATCATCCATTTCTACCTGGATGGTTTTTGGGTTGGGATAGAATCACAGGATTGAGTTTGGGATCATCCAGTTCCACCTGGATGGTTTTTGGGTTGGGATAGAATGGCAGGATTGAGTTTGGGATCACCCAGTTCCACCCTCCTGCCATGGCAGGGCCACCTCCCAGTGTCCCAGGCTGCTCCAGCCCCAGTGTCCAGCCTGGCCTTGGGCACTGCAGGGATGCAGGGGCAGCCCCAGCTGCTCTGGCAATTCCAGCCCAGCCCCTCCCCAGCCTGACTGTTAAAAATCTTCCTTCCATCTAATCCAAAGGAGGCATCCTGATCCCTCTGGATAATCCTGATGTGGATGAGAAGCTTCCCAAGGACGCAGTGACCCAAACCCAGCCAAGGAGGAGCCACAGGAAAAAACATCCCAGGGTTGGATGAGCTCAGCAGAGCTGGGATTTAGTCACTGAGGGGGCAGAGGGAGAGATGGCACCACTAAAACATGGCTTTAACCAAACCCCAGGGCTGGGGAATTCGCCAGTTTTGGCAATGGCTGAACCAAATGTGTCTTTTTTAATTGTAATTTTTAATTTTTTTTTGGGAGATGCTGATGTAAGAGCTGCCTGAGCCTTTCCCGCTGGGAATGCCGACTCTCCGGCATCGCTATAGCAACTCCATTTCCGTGCCAGCTCTCTGGGATTATTTGCTCATCAGCCATTTCCAGGCTGTTTGCTGAGGAATTGAGGCTGGAGAGCTCAATCCTTGTGTTTGTCCATCCAACCTGCTTCCAACAGGATTGTTCCAGCCAAATTTGATGGGGAAGAGGCAGCATTGGAGCTCCTCGGGTGAAAAATAAGCAGGAAATTCCCAATTTGGGTCTCTGCTGGGGAAAAGCCCCAGCAGAAATTCCAGCAAATTGAAAGCCAGGGAATGCAAAATGCCCAAAAAACCCCTGGGATGATCCCTCATGCTCCTCCCAGAGCAAATGTATCCATGGATTTGGCATCTCCCTGCATGCTGAGGTTGGGATATGCTTATGGAAGCACATTTTGGTTGTCACATAAAGCTTGGAAAAGCAGCTTGGAATTCTCACCAGAACGGCCCTTCCTGTCCTTGGCCTGGAGATCAGCCCCGAGGGACAGCAGGGTCTGGATGGTGTGGCCATGTCCCTCCTGCAGAACGTGGGATTTGGGATCAGCTCTGGGCTCACATCCACCCCTCACCTGGGGCTGCACAGATCTGCCCTGTCCTGGTCACGTCTGGGGGCACCAGGAGGATCTTGGAGCAGGTGGGAATCTGGCTCAGCTGCCTTCAGTCAGATCCATGAGGCAGCAATGGTTGTCCCAAGGGACTCGTGTCATCCCATGGGAACTGGCCAGAAAGGTGCCACCAGGCAGCTTCCTAAAATCCCAGCATGGTTTGGGTTGGAAAAATCCCTAAAGATCATCAAACTCCAACCCCAGCAGGGACACCTTCCCTATCCCAGGCTGCTCCAGCCTGGCCTTGGACATTCCAGGGATGCAGGGGCAGCCCCAGCTGCTCTGGCAATCCCAGCCCAGCCAGGAATTCCTCATTGCCAAGATCCCATCCCTGGCTGCCCTCTGGCACTGGGAGCCATTCCCTGGGTGCTGTCCCTCCATCCCTTATCCCAGGTTCTCTCTCCTGGAGCCCCTTTAGGCCCTGGCAGGGGCTCTGAGGTCTCTCCAGTGCTGAGTTCAAATCCCTGCAATTCCCAGGGATCTGGAGTTGATGTTTCCAAGGTTATTCCAGCTCCAGGAGCAGAACCTGTTGCTGATCTGGGCTGTTGCTCATCTGCCTCCCTCAGGCACTGGCATTTCCCAAAGGATTCCTCCAGGATTTGTGATCCCCTGGGAGGAGACCCAGCCAGCCACAATCCACTGTGTCCTCCCTCCTCTGCCAGGAGCCAATTTCAAACTCCACAGGGAAAAAACCCAGCACAGCCCCCAGCTCCTTCTACCCTGCACAGGCCTTTCCAGAAATAAATCCTTTCTCCCTAAATAACATGCCCGATTTTGGAATTACATCCTCAATGCCATGAATTAGTCTTTGTCCTGCAGCCTGGGAATGGAAAGCTCTTCTTTTTATCCCCCCCCTCCCCTCTCTTTTCCCCCTATTCCCACAGGATTCCACAGCATCTTCCCTGATCCCAAGGCTCCCATTTCCCTGCAAACCCAAGTCCAAGGCAAAGCCACTGAGCCAGGAACTGCTGCAGCTTCCACAGCCCAGGAAGCAAATTGAATTGAAAAAATAATTTGATTTTCATGTGTTTATAAATGCAAAAGAGTAAGAAAAGAGGGAGATAAAAACACAACCCACCAGGCAAACAAGTGGTGCTGTAAATACAAAGTGACACCAAGCCTGGGGAGGGAAGGGAGAGAATCCCATCCAGTCATTCCCAAACCAGCCAGGAGCTGGGATTTTCTCCAAGGCACATTATATCCCCCCAGAGCCTTGCTGTTCAACGTACCCTTGGCAACCAGAAGGGCTTGGAACGTGGCTCCTGGGAGCAGGAGGCCAGGAAAATGGGAGAAAGGACTCCTTTGTGGCAGGGCTGGATGGTGCCAGCATTCCCAGGGAGTGGCACGGATGGTTTTGTAGGAGCAGGGCACTGGGATGGGGTTTAATTCCCACCAGAAGCCAAAATCCTGGGTTTAACATCCCTGGATCTGAGGGAATGTCCCTGCCAGCTGGATCCCAGGAGGAATCCTGGTCAGCAGGGAAATTTTGGGATCTCTGCATTCCCAGATGTTTCTGTAGGAGCAGGACACTGGGATGAGATTTTATTCCCACTAGAAGCCAAAATCCTGGGCTTAACATCCCTGGATGTGAGCAGAGACATTCCCATGCTGCCAGCTGGATCCTAGGAGGGATCCTGCTCAACAGGGAAATTTTGGGATCTGCTCTGCATTCCCAGGGATTATCACAGATGTTTTTGTAGGAGCAGAGCACTAGGATGAGGTTTAGTTCCCACTAGAAGCCAAAATCCTGGGTTTAACATCCCTGGGTCTGAGGGAGATGGGTCACCATCCCTGGATCTGAGGGAATGTCCCTGCCAGCTGGATCCCAGGGGGAATCCTGGTCAGCAGGGAAGCTTTGGGATCTGTTCTGCATTCCCAGGGAATGCTGCAGGACCCACAGCTCTGCTCCCCACACGGGCTGGGAGGAGGAGAAAGCGCCAATGGTTCTGGAATTCACAACAACTCTGGTGTGAAGGACACTGATAAAATTCTGGGAGCTCCCCACACCTTCCCAGCTCTCCTTTCCCACTTCTGGACATGTCCTGTCCCTCCTCTGCAGGCAGCTGGAATTCCACAAACACGGAATTCCACGGGTGGGAAGGGACCCCAGAGCCCCTGCAGTGCCACCCTGCCATGGCAGGGACACCTCCCAGTGTCCCAGGCTGCTCCAGCCCCAGTGTCCAGCCTGGCCTTGGGCACTGCAGGGATGCAGGGGCAGCCCCAGCTGCTCTGGCAATCCCAGCCCAGCCAGGAATTCCTCATTGCCAAGATCCCATCCCTGGCTGCCCTCTGGCACTGGGAGCCATTCCCTGGGTGCTGTCCCTGCAGGCCTTGGCCCCAGTCCCTCTGCAGCTCTCCTGGAGCCCCTGCAGGCCTGCAATGTGCTGGAAGCTCTCCCTGGAGCCTTCCCTTCTCCAGGGGAACATTCCCAGCTCTCCCAGCCTGGCTCCAGCCCTGGAGCAGCTCCATGGATTCCTCTGGACTCTCCCCAGCAGCTCCAGGTCCCCCTGCTATTGGCCCCAGGGCTGGGATCTGGTGCTCCGGGTGGGATCTCACCAGAGCAGAGGAGGAGAATCCCACCCTCACCCTGCTGCCCACATTTCTTCTGATGCCCAGAAAACAGAGAATGGGACTGGTCAGGAATGGGACAGGGAATGGGACAGGGAATGGGACTGGCCAGGAATGGGCCAGGGAATGGGACTGGCCAGGAATGAGACAGGGAATGGGACTGGCCAGGAATGAGACAGGGAATGGGACTGGCCAGGAATGGGCCAGGGAATGGGACTGGCCAGGAATGAGACAGGGAATGGGACTGGGAATGGGCCAGGGAATGGGACTGGCCAGGAATGAGACAGGGAATGGGACTGGGAATGGGCCAGGGAATGGGACTGGCCAGGAATGAGACAGGGAATGGGACTGGCCGGGAATGGGCCAGGGAATGGGCCAGGGAATGGGACTGGGAATGGGCCAGGGAATGGGACTGGGAATGGGACTGGCCAGGAATGGGCCAGGGAATGGGACTGGCCAGGAATGAGACAGGGAATGGGACTGGCCGGGAATGGGCCAGGGAATGGGACTGGCCAGGAATGGGCCAGGGAATGGGACTGGCCAGGAATGGGACAGGGAATGGGACTGGCCAGGAATGGGACAGGGAATGGGACTGGCCAGGAATGGGACAGGGAATGGGACAGGGAATGGGACTGGCCAGGAATGGGACTGGTCAGGAATGGGCCAGGGAACGGGACTGGCCAGGAATGGGCCAGGGAATGGGCCAGGGAATGGGACTGACCAGGAATGGGACAGGGAATGGGACTGGCCAGGAATGGGACAGGGAATGGGACTGGCCAGGAATGGGACAGGGAATGGGACTGGCCAGGAATGGGACAGGGAATGGGACAGGGAATGGGACTGGCCAGGAATGGGACTGGTCAGGAATGGGCCAGGGAACGGGACTGGCCAGGAATGGGACAGGGAATGGGACAGGGAATGGGACTGGCCAGGAATGGGACAGGGAATGGGACAGGGAATGGGACTGGCCAGGAATGGGACAGGGAATGGGACTGGTCAGGAATGGGACAGGGAATGGGACAGGGAATGGGACTGGCCAGGAATGGGACAGGGAATGAGCCAGGGAATGGGACTGGCCGGAAGCAGATGGACAGTAGCAGAGGATGAGCCAGGAAGGCAATTCCTCCATGGTGGCCAACACCTGATCCAGCTGGTTCAGGTGCCTGCCCAGGCTTTTGCAAGGGGATCTGGGAGCAGGGACAAACCTTGGCTGCGTAGTGCAGGGCTGGCAGCTGCAGGGACGTCGCTGTCCCGTTGACATCCACGCCCAGCTCGGCCACCAGGAACTGGATGGAGCCATCCTGGGCTGTCACAGCTGCCCTGTGCAGGGCCTGGGCACCCAGGGCATCCACAGCTGTGGGACAGGCCTGCAGTGGAGGAATAGCAGGGAAATAACACCAAGTGCACCTATCCCACCCTCTGGAAACCTCCGTGAGGTTTTCCACCTCTCCCACCCTCAGTGCCTGGAATGTGAGCTTAAAACCACAGCAAACTTCCCCATCCAGAAAACAGGATTTCCTTTTCCTTAGGAAATCCAGGATCTGACCAACACCTCTGGGAGAATCAGCCATGAGAGGGTCCCCAGGCAGCTGGGATCATCCAGCAATCAATCAATCAATCAATCAATCATCAATAAATTATTGATTGCAGTGGTCTGGTTCCTGCTGAGCACAATTGGCTCTAATGGCATTCCCTGGAGGAAATCAGGGATTTTTGGGAGCCAGCACAGGAGAGGAGCTGCCAGGAGAGAGGGAGGGCAGGGAGGAGCTCTGGATAACTCATGGATGGACATTTCCATGTTATCCACAGCCACTGGAGCCTCCATGCCGAGTGCTGGCATTCCAAGAGCTGCTTTTGGCTCTGCCACAGCTGCCCCTGGAGCACTGGCAATGTCCTGTCCCCTCCTGCCACTGCCTGGTGTCACCATCCCACTCCACCAGCTCTGGGGACACATTTACCACCAAAGCTGGGGCTGCCCCTGGATCCTGGAAGTGTCCAAGGCCAGGCTGGACGGGGCTTGGAATCACCTTGGATAATGGAAGGTCTCCCTGCCTGTGGTAGGGGTGGAATGAGATGATTTTTAAAGTTCTTTAAACTTTGTTAAAGTTCTTCCAACTCAAACCATTCCATGATTCCATTATTCACAATAATTCCATTATTGTGAACAGACCTTTGTGCCCGTCCTAATGAATTATTTCCTTACCATTAATAATTTACCTGCATGGCCATGTCTGGGAAGTGTTACCAACCTCAGAGCACAGAGCTGGAGCCCAGGGTCACAAAAGGAGCCTGGGGAAGAGCCAGGAGCTGCTCCTGAATCCCTTGAATTTTTGGCTGGTGCAGTAAAGGCCGATCCCTGACAGCCTCACTCAGCCAAACCCTTCTCATCTCCAGCGGGAATTTGCCTTTTTTACACAATTCCTCTCTTTACAATCTGGCAGTTTGCTTCCTCACACTCCAGTGGGGATGAACACGTGGCTCACCTGTCCTGGCAGCCCTGGCTCAGCTCCTGCAGGAGGCAGTGGGGAATCCTGGCACCCACCTGGTGTTTGTCCAGCAGCAGCCGGGCGATGCCGACGTGCCCGTTCTGGAGGGCATCCATGAAGGGAGTGACCCCACAGCTGTCCCTGCTGTCAGCTTTGTACTGGCACCTGCAAGGGACAGCAGGAAGCACCAGCACTGAGCTGTGGGCAGCTCCAAAATCCTCATGTGAGGAGACTCTCAGCAGCTGGGATTGAAAATGGAATATGCAAAGCTCATCCGTACACCATGGATAAACCTGTCCTGGTGTTTTAGGGCCTGGGGAATGATTTGTGGGGCTTTTTTGGGATCAGAGATCTGGTTCAGCTCCTTTGGGCTCTACAGATCATTTATAATTCCCTTTTCCCTGACCAGAGGGTTTCCAGAAGGGACCAGGAATGCACTGGAAGCAGGGAATAACCAGATCCTCATGAAATGATGTACAAAATCAGAGTCCACCAATGTCATTCAGGTTAAACTCCAGTGAAATGAGAGAAAACTGAATTAAAGCCTGGCTTAGATCACAGAGCTGTCCCTGCTGTCAGCTTTGTACTGGCACCTGCAAGGGACAGCAGGAAACACCAGCACTGAGCTGTGGGCAGCTCCAAAATCCTCATGTGAGGAGACTCTCAGCAGCTGGGATTGAAAATGGAATATGCAAAGCTCATCCGTACACCATGGATAAACCTGTCCTGGTGTTTTAGGGCCTGGGGAATGATTTGTGGGGCTTTTTTGGGATCAGAGATCTGGTTCAGCTCCTTTGGGCTCTACAGATCATTTATAATTCCCTTTTCCCTGACCAGAGGGTTTCCAGAAAGGACCAGGAGTGCACTGGAAGCAGGGAATAACCAGATCCTCATGAAATGATGTACAAAATCAGAGTCCACCAATGTCATTCAGGTTAAACTCCAGTGAAATGAGAGAAAACTGAATTAAAGCCTGGCTTAGAGCACAGAGCTGCTCATGCTGGGCCAAGCATGGACAGGTTGGGATGAGCTGTGATGCCCAGGGAAAGCTGCTCCAGCTCTGGGAAGGGAAGGGAGAACACAGAAAGGGAACAGAGCTGCTTTAAAGCCACTTCCCAGCAATTTCCCAGGAAAACAAGGATAAGCCCAGCCTGGGGAAGCTGCTTTGGTTGTTGTCACACTGGGAATGAATCAGCAGGGAAAACAAAGCCAGGGCTGAGTTACATAACTGGGGTTTGTATCACAACCAAGAGGGAGCCCATCCCCAGGGAATCCTTGTCCCTTTCCCAGCTGGGAAGAACCTGGAGCACGAGGAGGCAGCCTCGGGAAGGAGGGCAGGGCAGCTGGGCCAGCACAAGCATCCTTTGTGTCCAAACCCTGGCAGGAAATGGCAGCTGGGAGAGGAAAAGCTGGAAGGAGCCTGCTTACCGTTCCAGGAGCAGCTCCACCACCTGGGAACAGCCGTGCATCGCTGGGAAAAGATGGGGAAAGCAGGAAAAACATGGATTGGTTGTGGGTTTGTGGCATTGTGTTCCTACAGTGAGGCATGCTCGGGTTGCTGATCCTTTTGGGGTGAGGGAAGGGGCTCCAAGGGGATTTATTCCCATCAATTTTTTGGTGGATTTAAAATTAAAAGGTTTCCCTTCCTCTGATGCCATTGGGAAATGTGAGGTGAAGCAGGGAAAAGGGATGGATGGAATGGGCACTGCCTGGCTCCATCTGCCACAGAACTCGGCTGGAACAAAGAGGGTTTCTCCCAGTTATTTGTTCATTCCTGAACTGGGATGTGGGAGAAGCAAAAGGCACACCGAGCAGGGAGCTGGGGAAATGCTGGACAACATTCCCAGCCCTCCTCAGCCACTCCCACCTCATCATCCTCACCCATCTCAGACAGAAAACAACAACAGAGGGGGAGGATGTGAACCCGAGGCAGTGAAATATTCCAGTTTTTCCTTGATTTTTTTTTTTAAACATTTCACTTCATACAGCTTTGATCCAGCTTTTTTTTGGTTTTGTTTTTGGTTTTTTTTCCCCTGCAGGTCATTTTGCAAAACAAATGAAACACATTCAAGAGAAAAATAATATCAAACCAAGGCTGGAGCTGCTCCATCAGCTGATGGATAAGGGCTCCTGGGAAATGTGTGCTCCCAGGAACAGCTTTCAGCTGGAATCCCAGTCAAGGATTCCTGGATTTTGGCTCTTTGCTCCTGCTCCCTGCCTGTTCTTCACCTAAGCTGATGAATCCAAGTCATGGGAAGAAAAACCTCTCACAATTCCATCTTTTATCAGGAACAGAGACTCGGGACAGCTGGGATCCAGTGCTGCATTCCACATCCTCTAATTGCCTCTTCCCAGCTTTCTTCCCTCGGGATAGAAGAAGCAACAAAGCTGAAGGAATCAACTCTCATTCATATAAAAAAATAATTGCAGGAGGGAGAAAATGACCCTTCAGGAAGGCAGCTGGCCTGGTCACGGGTTAATGTGCTCAAATGCACACCCCTGGGATGGAAATCCATGGAAACCCATGGCAGAGGCACTTGGTCCTGCCATGATTTCCCCCAGCAGCTCCAACACCAGCTCCAGCCCCAGCCCCTGCTCCTGCCTTGGGAACTGGGAATATCCCATGGGAGAAGTGTGGGGATAGCAGGGAGCAGCAGTTTGGGATCAAATTGCACTGGGGGCACTGGGGGGTTAAATCCTAATTCCATCATTCCATCATTCCAGCCCTTCCCCATTCCCTCCCGCTCCAGCTGCTGCTCCAGGGTCTGGCTGGATCAGAAAATTCCAGAAATCCACCCAAATTGTGGATGGGTGGCTTTGCCACAGAACACACAGGTGGAGACACCTCTAGGAAACAGAATCCAGGTGCTGGATCCCAGCTGTATTCCCATACCCCAAGGCAGAGAGAATCCTCAAGGTGAGAATTGCCCCCTTCCCACAGGATAATCCCAAATCCCAGAGCTCACCCTGCTCCTGACCCTGTCCCAGCCCCTCAGCTCCCAGATCCCAACACCCACCTCCTGCAGGGAGAGGAGCTGCAGGCTCCATGGAAACAGCACCCAGAACTGGGCAGGGATGGGAGAACATAACAAACATCGGGATCAGCCACTTCTGGCAACCTGCTGTGATCCCAGCACCAACTCATTCCCTGGCTTTTGCACTCCCAGGTCAAGCACAAGGACTCAGTGGTGCCCAAGGGCTGGAATTGTCACTGCTGATGAGCCAGGAGTGACAGAGCAAGGGCTGGAAAAGGCACGGGAGTGACAGCACAGCAGGGGCTCCTCCCAGCACCTCGGGATTTTCCAGAGAGTCAATCCCAATTAAATTCTTTGGGAAAGGAGTTTGGGCAGGCAGGGCTCATCCCTGCTGCTGAGACCTGGGATACACAGCCTGATTCCCACTCTGGATGTGGACCTAGCCCTCCTGTGCTTCCCAACAATCCTGAGGATGCCTGGGATTCCTAAACCTGCCCATTCCCTTTAAATCTCCCTTAAAAACAAGGAAAAGGGAAGGGAAAGGGAACTGGACACGGTGGGCTCCAACAACAGCTCCTGAATATTCCCAGCAGGGATTATCCCTCCCCTTTGCAGAAAGGACCCCTGGAATTCTCACCATGGCATGAGAGCAAGGGCACTTCAAAATTTGGAGTTTATTATTGGAATCATGGAGTCATTTTGGTTGGAAAAGTGCTTGAGCCCAACCATTCCCAGCACTGCCATGGCCACCACTGTCCCATGTCCTCAAGTGCCACATCCACATGGATTTTAAATCCCTCCAGGAATGGGGACTCCACCCTTGCCCTGGGCAGCTCATCCCAACGCTTACAAATTCTTACAATTCCTTTCCAGGAAGGAATTTTCCCAATATCCCACCTGAACCTCTCCAGGCCCAGCTTGAGGCTGTGATAAAGGAATCCATCCCCAGGCAGATCCCAAAAAGTTCCTCTCAGCAGCTCTGCTGCTTCCAGGAATTGCAAATGCCAGGATGTGCTTGGAGCTGGGGAGCTTCTCACACCAGGAAGGAAAATCATATCCCTACTCCAAGGGAGCAAAAAATCCCTCTGTGCCAGGGAGAGATGGACTTGATCCAGGATCCCAAGAACTCCAAGAGGCCCATTTGGGGATTTCCTGAGGGAAAAATTCCCATTTTTTTGGAAGTAGACACCAGTTTCTGCTTCTCCTGAGGGAAAACCTCATTCTTGCTTATCCCAACAATGCAGACTAACCAGGATATCCCCCAAAATCCCCATTTTTTGGCCCTTTTCCCCTCAGGCCCAGCTCCATGGCGGAGCAGGAGAGGCCATCGTGACTCCTGAGGCTGGTCCAGGAGGGAAACCTGGATGTGCTGCAGCATTTGTGGATTTCCTGAGGGAAAAATTTCTGCTTTTTTGGAAGTAGACACCAGTTTCTGCTCCTCCTGAGGGAAAACCTCATTCTTGCTTATCCCAACACTGCAGACTAACCAGGATATCCCCCAAAATCCCCATTTTTTGGCCCCTTTCTCCTCAGGCCTGGCTCCATGGCAGAGCAGGAGAAGCAGCTGCCTCTGCTTCTTCTGAGGGAAAACCTCAGTCTTCCTAACCCCAACCCCCAAACCACCCACGATATCCCCCAAAATCCTGATTTTTTGGCCCTTTTCCCCTCAGGCCTGGCCCCATGGCAGAGCAGGAGAAGCCATGGCAGCTCCTCAGGCTGGTCCAGGAGGGAAACCTGGATGTGCTGCAGGATTTGTGGATTTCCTGAGGGAAAAATTCCCATTTTTCTGAAATGGGCACCAGGCTCTGCTTCTCCTGAGGGAAAACCTAAGGATTTGTGGATTTTCTGAGGGAAAAATTCCTGGTTTTTTGAAAGTAGACATTAGGCTCTGCTACTCCTGAGGGAAAACCTCATTTCTGCTTAACCCAACGCCCCAAACCACCCACAATATCCCCCCAAATCCTAATTTTTTGCCTCTTTCCCCTCAGGCCCGGCTCCATGACAGAGCAGGAGAGGCCATGGCAGCTCCTGAGGCTGGTCCAGGAGGGAAACCTGGATGTGCTGCGGGATATTCTGAGGTAAAAATTCCCATTTTTCTGGAAGTAAACACTTGGTTCTGCTTCTTCTGAGGGAAAACCTCCTTCCTGCTTATCCCAACCCCCAAACCACCCAGGATATCCCCCAAAATCCTGATTTTTTTTGCCTCTTTCCCCTCAGGCCTGGCCCCATGGCAGAGCAGGAGAGGCCATGGCAGCTCCTGAGGCTGGTCCAGGAGGGAAACCTGGATGTGCTGCAGGATTTGTGGATTTCCTGAGGGAAAAATTCCCATTTTTCTGAAATGGGCACCAGGCTCTGCTTCTCCTGAGGGAAAACCTAAGGATTTGTGGATTTTCTGAGGGAAAAATTCCTGGTTTTTTGAAAGTAGACATTAGGCTCTGCTACTCTTGAGGGAAAACCTCATTTCTGCTTAACCCAACGCCCCAAACCAAGCACAATATCCCCCAAAATCCTGATTTTTTTGCCTCTTTCCCCTCAGGCCCGGCTCCATGTCAGAGCAGGAGAGGCCACGGCAGCTCCTGAGGCTGGTCCAGGAGGGAAACCCGGATGTCCTGCAGGATTTCCTGAGGTAAAAATTCCCATTTTTCTGGAAGAAGGCACCAGGCTTTTCTTCTTCTGAGGGAAAACCTCATTCTTCCTAATCCCAACGCTCCAAACCAGCCACGATATCCCCCAAAATCCTGATTTTTTGGCCCCTTTCCCCTCAGGACTGGCCCCATGGTAGAGCAGGAGAGGCCATGGCAGCTCCTGAGGCTGGTCCAGGGGGAAACCCGGATGTGCTGCAGGATTTCCTGAGGGAAAAATTCCCATTCTTCTGAAGTGGGCACCAGGCTCTGCTTCTCCTGAGGGAAAACCTAAGGATTTGTGGATTTTCTGAGGGAAAAATTCCTGGTTTTTTGAAAGTAGACATTAGGCTCTGCTACTCTTGAGGGAAAACCTCATTTCTGCTTAACCCAACACCCCAAACCAACCACAATATCCCCCAAAATCCTCATTTTTTGCCTCTTTCCCCTCAGGCCCGGCTCCATGTCAGAGCAGGAGAGGCCACGGCAGCTCCTGAGGCTGGTCCAGGAGGGAAACCCGGATGTCCTGCAGGATTTCCTGAGGTAAAAATTCCCATTTTTCTGGAAGAAGGCACCAGGCTTTTCTTCTTCTGAGGGAAAACCTCATTCTTCCTAATCCCAACGCTCCAAACCAGCCACGATATCCCCCAAAATCCTGATTTTTTGGCCCCTTTCCCCTCAGGCCTGGCCCCATGGTAGAGCAGGAGAGGCCATGGCAGCTCCTGAGGCTGGTCCAGGGGGAAACCCGGATGTGCTGCAGGATTTCCTGAGGGAAAAATTCCCATTCTTCTGAAGTGGGCACCAGGCTCTGCTTCTCCTGAGGGAAAACCTCCTTCCTGCTTATCCCAACCCCCAAACCAACCAGGACATCCCACAAAATCCCCATCTTTTGACTCCTTTCCCCTCAGGCCCGGCTCCACGACAGAGCAGGAGAAGCCATGGCAGCTCCTGAGGCTGGTCCAGGGGGAACCCTGGCCCTGCTCTGGGATGAGCTGAGGCTGGATGAGATTCCAGAGGCTTCCCTGGGTCCACCCTGGTGTACCTGCTGTGTGCAGAGGCGTTCTCCCCGTGGTGCTCTCCGTGTCCCAGCAGCTTGGGGACACATGCAGGAGGTAGCGGAGCACCTCGGGATGCCCTTCCCTGCTGGCAATGTGGAAGCAGTTCCAGCCATCCTTGTTCCTCAACAACGGGTTGGCTCCGTGCTCCACCAAGGTTTTGATCACTTCCAAGTTTTTCCTGGTGCAAGCCATCATCAGGGGAGTCCTGGAAGAAGATCCAGGGAAATCAAATAACCTGGCACAACAAATCTCATTCAGGTGCTTTGCCTGAGGATCCAGGAGGTTTTACAGCACTGTTGTTCCAGGTTGGGAATATTCCAAGCTCCTTTTCCATGCAGTCCCGAGGAGCTTTCTGGGTTTTTAAGGCAAATGAGACTTTTCCCAAAGGTTTGGATATGCCTCAGGAAGCACAGAGCTCCCTGGTGTCAATCCATGGGTGGAAGAGCATGGCCACACAAATCCAGGCTCATGGAATCTTGGCCTCAGCTCCAGGCTGGCACAGCCTCAATTCCCAGCTCTGGAATGCTGCCTGTGGACTTGTGGCAGTTCAGCTGCAAAGGACCTTCCCAGGCTTTCATCTGGGAGCAGGGGAGAATCCTCGTTTTCTTTTTCCAGAAATGCCCATCCCTAAGGGAAGAGTGGAGCAGTAATTTACAGCTTTTAGGAGAAATGGGGGGAAAGCAGGGATAAGGCTGGAATTTCTCCCAAAAATCCAACAGGATCCACAGTGTGGGTAGCAGGGGAAGGGAATTCTGCTTTCTCTGCTCCACTCAAGAGATCCCACATGGAGTCCAGCTCTGGGATCCCAAAATAAGGACATGGAGCTGCTGGAGCAAATCCAGAGCAATCCATGGAGCTACTCCAGGGCTGGAGCCAGGCTGGGAGAGCTGGGAATGTTCCCCTGGAGAAGGGAGGGATCCAGGGAGAGCTTCCAGCACATTGCAGGCCTGCAGGGGCTCCAGGAGAGCTGCAGAGGGACTGGGGCCAAGGCCTGCAGGGACAGCACCCAGGGAATGGCTCCCAGTGCCAGAGGGCAGCCAGGGATGGGATCTTGGCAATGAGGAATTCCTGGCTGGGCTGGGATTGCCAGAGCAGCTGGGGCTGCCCCTGCATCCCTGCAATGTCCAAGGCCAGGCTGGACACTGGGGCTGGAGCAGCCTGGGATAGGGGAAGGTGTCCCAGGTGGCCCTGGATGATCCTTAAGCTCCTTCCCATCCATTCCACAATCCCAAACACCACCTCCATTCCCACCTTCCCCACCCAATCCCAAATCCCAGCACCTACCAGTCAGCCTTTTTCAAGCAGTCCACGCTCGCCCCTCTCTCCAGGAGGAAGGACACACATTCCTGATGTCCCATGGAAGCAGCCTCATGGAGGGGTCTCTTGTAGTCTCCATTGGCCACCTCCACATCCATCCCAACCTCCTGGACCAGGAATTCCAGCACATCCCGGTGTCCCGAGCGAGCTGCGTGGTGCAGGAGGGAATCTCCCAAACGTCCCCAGCGCCAGCTGCGAGCCTCTGGAATCTCATCCAGCCTCAGCTCATCCCGGAGGAGAGACAGGTTCCCCTCCTGGACCAGCCTCAGGAGCCGCCGCAGCCTCTCCTGCTCTGTCATGGAGCCAGGCCTGAGGAGAAAGAGGTCAAAAAATGGGAATTTAGGGAGGATATCCTAGTTGGTTTGGAGAGTTGGGATAAGTAGGAATGAGGCTCTCCCTCAGAAGAAGCAATGCCTGGTGTCTTCTTCCAGAAAAATGGGAATTTTTCCCTCAGGAAATCCACAAATCCACAGGTTTTCCCTCAGGAGAAGAAAAGCCTGGTTTCTACTTTCAGAAAAATGGGAATTTTTCCCTCAGGAAATCCATAAATCCCACAGCACATCCAGGTTTCCCTCCTGGACCAGCCTCAGGAGCCGCCGCAGCCTCTCCTGCTCTGTCAGGGAGCCAGGCCTGAGGGAAAAGAGGTAAAAAACCTGGGATTTTGCAGAATATCCTGGTGGGATTGGGGTATTGGGATAAGCAGGAATGAGGTTTTCCCTCAGGAGAAGCAGAGGCAGCTGTCTACTGCCAGAAAAATGTGAATTTTTCCCTCAGGAAATCCACAAATCCTGCAGCACATCCAGGTTTCCCTCCTGGACCAGCCTCAGAAGCCGCCATGGCCTCTCCTGCTCTGCCATGGAGCTGGGCCTGAGGGGAAAAGGGCCAAAAATTGAGGATTTTGGGGGATATCGTGGTTGGTTTGGGGGTTGTGATAAGGAAGATTGAGGTTTTCCCTCAGGAGAAGCAGAAACCTGTGTCTACTGCCAGAAAAACACGAATTTTTCCCTCAGGAAATTCACAAATCCCACAGCACATCCAGGTTTCCCTCCTGGACCAGCCTCAGGAGCCGCTGTGGCCTCTCCTGCTCAGCCATGGAGTAGGCTTGAGGAGAAAGAAGCCAAAAAATTGGGATTTTGGGAGGATATACTGGTTGGTTTGGGGGGATTGGAAAAAGTAGGAATGAGGTTTTCCCTCAGGAGAAGCAGAGGCTGGTGTCTACTTCCAGAAAAACAGGAATTTTCCCTCAGAAAATCCACAAATCCTGCAGGACATCCAGGTTTCCCTCCTCAACCAGCCTCAGGAGCTGCCATGGCCTCTCCTGCTCCACCATGGATCCAGGCCTGAGGGAAAAGGGCCAAAAATCAGGATTTTGGGGGATATCATGGTTGGTTTGGGGGTTGTGATAAGGAAGATTGAGGTTTTCCCTCAGGAGAAGCAGAAACCTGTGTCTACTGCCAGAAAAACACGAATTTTTCCCTCAGGAAATTCACAAATCCCACAGCACATCCAGGTTTCCCTCCTGGACCAGCCTCAGGAGCCGCTGTGGCCTCTCCTGCTCTGCCATGGAACTGGGCCTGAGGAGAAAGAAGCCAAAAAATTGGGATTTTGGGAGGATAGACTGGTTGGTTTGGGGGGTTGGAATAAGTAGGAATGAGGTTTTCCCTCAGGAGAAGCAGAGGCTGGTGTCTACTTCCAGAAAAATGGCAATTTTTCCCTCAGGAAACCCACAAATCTCTCCTGGACCAGCCTCAGAAGCTGCCATGGCCTCTCCTGCTCCACCATGGATCCGGGCCTGAGGGAAAAGAGGTAAAAAACCTGGGATTTTGTAGGATACCCTGGTTGGATTGGGGTATTGGGATAAGCAAGAATGAGGTTTTCCCTCGGGAGAAGTAGAAACCAGTGTCTACTTCCAAAAAAATGGGAATTTTTCCCTCAGGAAATCCATGAACTGGCCTCTCCCTCTGGATGGGCAGGAATTTCCTTCTCCCTCAGGATAATTAAAAATTGCCCTTCAGAAAACCAGGATCTGGCCTCTCCTTCAAGAAAAGCAGGAATTCTCCTCTCCCTCTGAAATTCAGGAAGCAGTCACCCCTCAGTAAAAGCAAAAATTCCATTTTTTCCTTGGGAAAATTAGGATCTGGTCTCTCCCTCCAGAAAGCAGGATTTTCTTTTCCTTAGGAAATCCAGGATCTGACATTTCCCTTAGGAAAAACAGAAATTCCCTTTTCCCTCAGGAAAACCAAAAGTTTCTTTTTCCACTGAGATGCCCAGAAACCTCTGAAAAAGTAGAAATTCAGTTTCCCTCTGGAAAATCAGAAATCAGCCTTTCCCTCAGGAAAACAGGAAAGCAGTCTCTCCTTTAGGCAAAAAGAAATTCCCCTTTTCCCTTAGGAAAAACAGAAACCAGAATCTCCCTCAGCAAATCCTGAAATTCCCTTTTTCCTCAGGAAAAAATGGACAATTTCTTTTTACTTAGGAAAACCAGGACTCCCCAACTCTTCCTCCAGAAAACCCGAAATTCCCTCTTCCCTGAGGAAAACCAGGAACTTCCTTTTTCCTTGAGAAAACAAGGAATTAGCCACTCCATCAGGAAAACCAGAATTTTGCTTTTTCATATGGAAAACTAGGAATGGGTTTCTCCCTCAGGAAAACCAGGAAATTCCCATTCCCTCTGGGAAAACTCAAGAATTCCTGTCCCTCTTAGGAAAGCCAGAAGCCAGCTGGAAATACATAAATTTTCTCTTTTCACTCAGGAAAACCTGAAATTCCCTTTTTTGTCTGGAAAACGAATAACTTCTTTTTCCCTGCGGACAGCCAGACACCAGCCTCTCCTCCGGGAAAAGCAGCAATTCCCTTTTCCCTCCCAAACGAACGGGAAATTCGCTTTTTCCTCAGGAAAAAACCAAAAAAATTCCTTTTTTCCTCAGGAAAAAAATCAGAAATTCCCGTTCCCTTCAGGGCTCCCGGGAAGGGGCCGCTCCCGCAGTCCGGGATTCCCCCCCCTCATTCCCTCCCCATCTTATCCCAGGCCGCGCAATTCCCGCGGGAAAATTCCCGGTTTTTCCAACCCACCCGCGCGCCGCGGAGCGCTCGTGACGTCACACGCGGAGGGACGGACGTCACCGCAATGGGAGAGGTAAATAAACCCCGCCCAACCCGGAAGTGCTGCGCCATTGGACAGTGCTGGGCGCTGATCTGGCTGCTGATTGGGCAGCGGGGAGGGGGCGGGGCTGGTGGAGCGCGCGGGGCTGTGAGCGCCGGGAGCGGGTAAGGCCGCGGGAGGAGGGTGCGACCATTTTTGGGCAACGTGGGGGGGGGGGGGGCACGGAAGGGGTTTCCTTGGAAATGGGGTTTCTTTGGGAATGCGGAGCCCTTGGGAATGAGGGAATCTTTGGAACTGAGGGATTTGCACTGAGGGGACCCTTGGCAAAGGCGGGGGATTGGTATTCAAAGGGCTTTTGGCACTGCGGGGGACCTTTGGCTTTGAGGGGAGCTTGGGAATGGAGGCTCCTTTGGCGTTGGGGGCACCGTTGGAAATGGGGGAATCCTTGGAATTGAGGGGTTTGGGAATGAGGGTGGACTTGGGATTGAAGGGGGTTTTGGCACTGCGGAGCTGCTTGGACATTGAGAGGACCTTGGGAATGGGGGCTCCTTCGGCGTGAGGGGACCCTTGGGAATGGGGGGATCCTTGGAATCGAGGGATTGGGAATGAGGGGTAACAGGATGGGGGAGTGAACAGGGGGCTCTTGGCTGAGAAGGGGTTAAAAAGGGAATTCCTTGGGAACCAGGGAATCCTTGGAATTGGGGGGTTGGCACTGAGGGCACCCTTGGCATTGAGGGTGCCTTGGGAATGGGGGAATCCTTGGGATTTGAGGGGACCCTTGGAAAAGGGGGGATCCTTGGAATCGAGGGATTGGGAATGAGGGGTAATTGGATGGGGGAGTGAACAGGGGGGCTCTTGGCTGAGAAGGGGTTAAAAAGGGAATTCCTTGGGAATGAGGGAATCCTTGGAATTGGGGGATTGGCACCTTGGGAATGGGGGAATCCTTGGAATTGAAGGATTGGAAATGAGGAGTAACAGGATGGGGGAGTGAACAGGGGGGCTCTTGGCTGAGAAGAAGGGGTTAAAAAGGGAATTCCTTGGGAACCAGGGAATCCTTGGAATTGGGGCGTTGACTCTGAGGGGGTTTTGGAATTGGGGTGCTCGGGAATGAGGGGACCCTCTGGACGAGGTCAGTGCATCCGTGTGGGAAGAGGGTTTGGAAAGGACGTTCTGGGGGGAAAACAGGGAGCAGCTCCAACTTCCTCCCAAATATTTCTCATCCTCCTGGAGCTTCTCCCCTCCATCCTCTGACCCTTTGGATTCCCAGCTGGAATGTCCTGGCTGGCATTGGAAGCCACATGGGAAATTGGGAAAAAATAGGAATGCAGGTGAAGCCTGAGAAATTCCATTTTTAAGTAGAATCCTGGGATGATTTAGGTTGGAAAAGATCATCAAATCCAGCCCCAGATTCCCTCACCACATTCCTAAAAGCCTCAGGCGTGTCTTGAATTGGGTTTTTTCCCTTTTATTTCCCTCATTTCCCATATTTTGAGGAAATTGGGATGTTGGGAAACAGCCTTCCCGGGGAGCTGAGTGGTTTTAACTCTGCTGGGCTGCAAAGGAGGGAGCAGCACATCCATAAAATCATTCAGGTCGGGAAAAAACCCTAAAATCATCCCAAGGAATAACCAGGCAGATCCTTGGACCCTGCCCTAAGAGGAAAACGGGGCATTTTTGGGGCTGCTGCAGACGGGTTAAAGAGAAATAAATAAATTAAAGGAAGCAAAAGTGAAACTGCTGATGCTGGCAGGAGGGAGCTCATCCTGTGGCAGCCACTCCTGCTGGGTTCGGCTTCTTTTGTGGAAAAAATTGCATTTTGTGGGGTTTTTTGGTGGCCAGAGGAGAGGAGTTGGTGCCTGTTCCAAGTGAGGTTTGGTTATTTAACGGGAATAATTCCCAGGAGGATTTTTTAAAGTGCAAATGGGTTAAATTTCCTCTGATGAGGAACGATCCCAGCTTGGAAAGGCTCAGTTTGGGTGGTGGAATGTTGGATCCAGGGTGTGAGGAACAAGGCTGGTTCTTTCCAAGTTTTAAAAGTTTAATAAGGGATAAAAAGGATTGCATAAATTCCATGAAAAAGAGTTTTCTTAACCAATGTCCTCTCTGGGAAAGTCAATTTGTGATTTCACTTCATTTCACTTCATTTTGGTTTTTAAATTTTATTTTATTTTTTATTATTTTATTTTGGTTTTTTAATTTTGGTTTGTTTTATTTCATCTCTCCTTCTATATATATCTAGTGCAAATTGCCAAAAGCACACCATTAGATTAAGATAATTTTCTTCTATATTTTTATTACATTGGTTAAATGCATATTCATGAGGATTATATGTATTTCAATATTGTATATATATTATATAATGCATATTTTATATATATGAAATCCTACTATATATATATGAAAAAAATATATTTTATATTTATATATATAGTAGGAATTCTTTTCTTGGTGTCTTGGTTCTTGTTATTAAAATATTATAATTTCGATAAGATACTCCACAAATATATTGAATTAACATAGTTATTTTATGCCATTATCTGAGTTAGTTACATAAATAAAAGAATTCAGCATAATTATTTTAATTTAATTTTAATTAAATTTAATTACATAGTTCCTATATTAATATTAGGCAAAGACCTAAGCTATAAAATAATTATTTTATTGCTATTTACGTAAGCTACATGGTGTATATGAAAGCAGACAGATTATATTTTAAAAGTAGCTAAAAGGGATTATAAATTGTGTTATATTAAAACTGTTGTGATTAAAAATAACTTGTAAAAGCGATTGCATAAATATGAAAGACAATGATTATATTATAATGTTACTGTATAATATATATTTATTATATATTTTATTCTATTTGTGATATAGTTTATTATATTTGTTATATAAAATGGTATATATACAATTATATTGTTATATAAATATATTATAATTTTGATATAATCTGTAATATGTTGTATTAATATATTGTTAATGTTGTATAATATAATAATGGAATAACAGTATCATACTAATATAAATACTAGAATTATAATATAATTCAATAATATTTATTATAAATAAATAATGCAATATTATTATATTATAATATGATTATATGTATATATATATGATATATTATATTAACAGAGTAATACTATACTTATAATAATTATACAATAATTATACTTAGAATTAAATATTATAATTATTATAGAATAATTATATTTATAGTATGGTAACTTATATTATGTTATATATTATTATATATTATGAATTATTATATATGATGTATTATATATTATATATGCTAATATATAATATATATTATATATAATATATATTATATATTACATGTTATATATATTGATATATAATTAATATATATATAATATATATTACATTTTTAAAATATATATATTATATATTACTATATTTATAGTTAGAGGCAGCCACAGCTTCTCTAGGAATTCCTGGTTGGGATGGAATTCCTAACTCGATCTACCCCAACTAAATCAAACCCTAAATATCCAAACCACGCCAGCTCTCAGGTCTCACTCTGCTCTTGCTGAAACCCTGTGGCCTCTCAGAATTCCAGAGTGAAAGCACAGTTCTGGTTTTTCCCTTTGATTTCTGGTTTTTTTCCCCTTTGATTTCTGTTTTTTTTCTCCTTTGATTTCTGTTTTTTTTCTCCTTTGATTTCTGTTTTTTTTCCCTTTGATTTCTGATTTTTTTTCCCCTTTGATTTCTGTTTTTTTTTTCCCTTTAATTTCTGATTTTTTTTCCCTTTGATTTCTGGTTTTTTTCCCCTTTGATTTCTGTTTTTTTTTCCCTTTGATTTCTGATTTTTTCCCCTTTGATTTCTGTTTTTTTCCCTTTGATTTCTGTTTTTTTTTCCCTTTGATTTCTGATTTTTTTTTCCCTTTGATTTCTGATGTTTTTTTCCTTTTAATTTCTGATTTTTTTTTCCCTTTGATTTCTGATGTTTTTTTCCTTTTAATTTCTGATTTTTTTTCCCCTTTGATTTCTGATTTTTTTTCCCTTTAATTTCTGATTTTTTTTCCCTTTGATTTCTGTTTTTTTTCCCTTTGATTTCTGATTTTTTTTTCCCTTTGATTTCTGTTTTTTTTCTCTTTGATTTCTGATTTTTTTTCCCTTTGATTTCTGATTTTTTTTCCCTTTGATTTCTGATTTTTTTTTCCCTTTGATTTCTGATTATTTTTCCCTTTTAATTTCTGATTTTTTTCCCCTTTAATTTCTTAATTTTTTTCCCTTTGATTTCTGTTTTTTTCCCTTTGATTTCTGATGTTTTTTTCCTTTTAATTTCTGATTTTTTTTCCCCTTTAATTTCTGATTTTTTTTCCCCTTTAATTTCTGATTTTTTTTCCCCTTTAATTTCTGATTTTTTTTCCCCTTTGATTTCTGATTTTTTTTCCCTTTGATTTCTGCTTTTTTTCCTTTTGATTTCTGTTTTTTTTTCCCCTTTGATTTCTGATTTTTTTTTCCCCTTTGATTTCTGATGTTTTTTTCCTTTTAATTTCTGATTTTTTTCCCCTTTAATTTCTGATTTTTTTTTCCCCTTTGATTTCTGATTATTTTTTTCCCTTTGATTTCTGTTTTTTTTCCCCTTTGATTTCTGGGTTTTTTTCCCTTTGATTTCTGATGTTTTTTTCCCTTTGATTTCTGTTTTTTTTTCCCTTTGATTTCTGTTTTTTTTTTCCCTTTGATTTCTGTTTTTTTTTCCCCTTGATTTCTGTTTTTCCCTTTGATTGATTCCCGTTTTTCCCTCAGGATGCGGCGCTGCCGGCGGCGGCAGCTCACAGCCCCCGAGTGCGCGGCCCTGGCCCACAGCCCCGAGGGCTCGGCCCCGCTGCGGCAGCCCCTGAGCCTGCCCCGAGGAGGAGGAGGAGCGGGAAACCGGGGCCTTCATCCCATCCACGGCACGCGGAGACATCCCAGAGGTACTGCAGGGAATGCTGTGCTGGGAGAGCTGGGAATGTTCCCCTGGAGAGGGGAGGGATCCAGGGAGAGCTTCCAGCACATCCCAGGGGCTCCAGGAGAGCTGCAGAGGGACTGGGGCCAAGGCCTGCAGGGACAGCACCCAGGGAATGGCTCCCAGTGCCAGAGGGCAGCCAGGGATGGGATCTTGGCAATGAGGAATTCCTGGCTGGGCTGGGATTGCCAGAGCAGCTGGGGCTGCCCCTGCATCCCTGGCAGTGCCCCAGGCCAGGCTGGACACTGGGGCTGGAGCAGCCTGGGACACTGGGAGGTGGCCCTGACATGGCAGGGCTGGCACTGGATGGGCTTTAAGGTTCCTTCCAACCCAACCCATTCCAGGATTCCATTAAAAAGAGTTTCCTTGACCCATTTCCTCTCTGTGAGATTTTGTGATTTTATTCACTTTATTTTTTAAATTTAATTATTTTCTTTTATTTTATTTATTTGTTGCATTTAATTTAATTTTACTTTTTAAAATTTTATATTATTTTCATTTAATTATTTTCATTTCAATTCTTTATTTTATGTTGGTTTATATATTTATGTTATTTTAATTTTTTATTTTCTTTTTTATCCCTTTTTTTTCTTTTAGATTTCATTTCATTTTATTCCCCAAATCCTGCTGCCTCCACACCTGTGGCTGAGCAGAAAACCCCCCCTGAATCCCTGGGAGATGTGGGATTCAGCCCCATTTTCCTGAGAATTCTGTCTGTACCTGGCTGCCTTCCCAGGGAACATTCCCTGCCCAGGCTGGACGTGCCACCAAAACCCCAAATCCTTCCTCACTCCCTGATTTCCATGGAATTCATTCCCACTTTTCCCCTCCGTGCAGCCGCGGGCCAGCAGAGGAAGATCTCGGATTTCTTTGGGATCCTGAAGTCACCGCAAGTGGGAAGTGCCGGGATGCCAAGCCAGGGGACCAAGGAGGAGCCACTGGACCCCTTTGCCCCTGCACCTCCCGCTCCCTTCAGCCACCCCTCCCTTTCCCTGCATCCCCAGGGCCTGGTGCCACCTCCCAGGGCCCATTCCAGGAAGAGAAGAATTCCCAAAGCAGAGCAGGATCTCTGGGAGGAGCCCGAGGAGAAGATTGCAGAGCGCAGCGGGATCAAGCAGGAATGGGAGGAGCTGGAGGTGGAGCCGCTCCCTGATCCGCACTACGGGCTCCTGGGCACTCGCAGCTGGCAGGTTCCTCAGGGATCCATGCATGATCTTCCTCCTGAAGTCCTCAGGAACATTTTTGCTTTCCTGCCAGTGCTGGATCTGTACCAGAACCTGAGCCTGGTGTGTCGCTGCTGGAGGGAGATAATCCGGGATCCACGGGTAAGGAATGCTCTGGGATCATCCCATGGGATCTTCCATGTCTCCCTTTGGTCCTCTAAATCCCATCATTCTTCCCATGGGATCTTCCATGTCTCCCTTTGTGCCTCTAAATCCCATCATTCTTCCCATGGGATCATCCCTGCCTCCCTTTGTGCCTCTAAATCCCATCATTCTTCCCATGGGATCATCCATGTCACCCTTTGGTCCTTTAAATCCCATCATTCTTCCCATGGGATCATCCATGTCACTCTTTGTGCCTCTAAATCCCATCATTCTTCCCATGGCATCATCCATGCCTCCCTTTGTGCCTCTAAATCCCATCATTCTTCCCATGAGATCATCCATGTCTCCCTTTGTGCCTCTAAATCCCATCATTCATCCCATGGGATCATCCATGTCACCCTTTGTGCCTCTAAATCCCATCATTCTTCCCATGGCATCATCCATGTCACCCTTTCTTCCTGTAAATCCCATCATTCTTCCCATGGGATCATCCATGCCTCCTTTTGTGCCTCTAAATCCCATCATTCTTCCCAAAATCCAGGAATTTTTAGATTTCTTTCCTTTTTTTTTTGGTCTTCTGGACCAAAAGTTGCTGCCCTATATCCGAGATCTGTGGGTAAGGAATGCTCTGGGATCATCCATGTCTCCCTTTGTTCCTCCAAATCCCATCATTCTTCCCATGGGATCATCCATGCTCTTCCTACCTCTGTTTGTTCCTTTAAATCCCATCATTCTTCCCACAGTCCATGAATTTTTAGGTTTCCTGCCATTTTTTGGACCAAAAGTTGCTGCCCTATATCCAAGATCCACGGGTAAGGAACTCTCTGGGATTATCCCATGGGATCATCCATGCCTTTCTTCGTTCCTTTAAATCCCATCATTCTTCCCATGGGATCATCCATGCCTGCCTTTGTTCCTTTTTCCTTTAAATCCCATCATTCTTCCCATGGCATCATCCATGCTCTGTCTGCCTCCTTGTTCCTTTAAATCCCATCATTCTTCCCAAAATCCGTGAATTTTTAGGTTTCCTGCCATTTTTTTGGACCAAAAGTTGCTGCCCTATATTCAAAATCCAAGATCCACAGGTAAAGAACGCCCTGGGATCATCCCATGGGATCATCCATGTCTCCCTTTGTTCCTTTAAATCCCATCATTCTTCCCATGGGATCATCCATGTCTCCCTTTGTGCCTCTAAATCCCATCATTCTTCCCAAAATCCAGGAATTTCTTAGGTCTTCTGCCCTTTTTCTTTAGGATTCTGGACCAAAAGATCCGAGATCCATAGGTAAGGAACTCTCTGGGATTATCCCATGGGATCATCCATGTCACCCTTTGTTCCTTTAAATCCCATCATTCTTCCCATGGGATCATCCATGCTCTGCCTGCCTCTCTGTTCCTTTAAATCCCATCATTCTTCCCACAATCCAGGAATTTTTAGATTTCCTGCCTTTTTTTTTTTTTTCTCTTCTGGACCAAAAGTGGCAGCCCTGTATCCAAAATCCATGTTGGAGCAACATTCCTTCCCATGCACAGAAAAAAGCCCTGGAGGATTCCATGAAATCCCATGGAATTTCAGTTTTCCCTGCAGCCTTTTCTCCTGGCAGCCGTGATCCAGGGAGTTCCTGCAGTGTCCCCAAAGCCCCTGGGTGTGCCTGGGGTGCTTTTTGTCTCCAAATGGATTTGGAGGAGAGCCCTGGAGCTCTGTTTTGGTGGGTTTTGGTTCCTCTGGAATTGAGGCAAACAACAGGCAGGAATGATCCCTAAATCCCACAAAAAATAGCTTGGGAACAGCCAGCACCTCTCCAGGCACTCAGCATCCCCAAAAATCCAGCCCTATTTGCAGGCTTGGAGTATTTCCCCCCCCTTTCCTTTTTTCCCCCCTTTCCTTTTTTCCCCCCTTTCCTTTTTTCCCCCCTTTCCTTTTTTCCCCCCTTTCCTTTTTTTCCCCCCTTTCCTTTTTTTCCCCCCTTTCCTTTTTTTCCCCCTTTCCTTTTTTTCCCCCTTTCCTTTTTTTCCCCCCTTTCCTTTTTTTCCCCCTTCCTTTTTTTCCCCCTTCTTTCCCTTTTTTCTCTCTTTTCCCCTCTCTTTTTTTCCTCCCTCTTCTCCCCCCTTTTTCCTCATTTTTTCCCCTTTTTTCTCTATTTTTCCCTCCTTTTTTTCTCCCTTTTTCCCTCCCCTCTTGTTTTCCTTTCCTTTTCCCCCCCCTTTCTTTTCCCCCCCCTTTCCTTTCCCCCCCTATTTTTCCCCCTTCCTTTTTCCTCCTTCTTTCTCTTTTTTCTCCCTTTTTCCCTCTCTTTTTTCCTCCCTCTTCTCTCCCATTTTCCTCCTTTTTTCCCCTTTTTCTCTATTTTTCCCTCCTTTTTTTTCTCTCTTTTTCCCTCGTTTTCCCCTTCTTTTTTTCCCCCCTTCTTTTTTTCCCCCCCTTCTTTCCCCCCACCCTTTCCTTCCCCCTCTTTCCTTTTCCCCCTCTATTTTTTCCACCTTCATTTTTCCTCTTTCTTTCCCTTTTTTCTCTATTTTTCCCTCATTTTTTTCCTCTCTTTTCCCCTCTTTTTTTCCTCTTCTCTTTTCCCCCTCCTCTTTTTTCCCTCCCTTCCCCCTCTTTCTTTCCCCCCTCTCTTTTCTTTCCCCCCTCCCTTTTTTCCACCTCTCTTTTTTTTCCCCCCTCTTTTTTTCTCTTTTTTTCCCTCTTTTTTTTTCTCCCTTTTTTTCCTCTTTTTTCCTCACTTTTTTCCCCCTCACTTTTTTCCCCCCTCTCTTTTTTCCCCCCTCTCTTTTTCTCCCCTCTCTTTTTTCCCCCCCTCTCTTTTCTTTCCCCTCTCTCTTTCCTTTTCCCCCCTCTCTTTTTCCCCCCTCTCTTTTTCCCCCCCCTTTTCCCTCTCTTTTCTTTCCCCCTCTCTTTTTCCCCCTTTCCTTTTTTTCCCCCTTCATTTTTCCCCCTTTCCCTTTTCCTCTCTTTTTTCCTCCCTCTTCTCCCCCCTTTTTCCTCCTTTTTTCCCCTTTTTCTCTATTTTTCCCTCCTTTTTTTCCTCTTTTCCCCCCCTTCTTTTTCCCCCCCTTCTTTTCCCCCCCTTTCCTTCCCCCCCTTTCCTTTTCCCCCTCTATTTTTTTCCTCCTTCTTTCCCTTTTTTCTCTATTTTCCCCTCCTTTTTTTCCTCTCTTTTCCCCTCTTGTTTTCCTCTTCTCTTTTCCCCTCTCTCCTTTCCTCCCCCCCCTCTCTTTTTCCCCTTTTCCCCTTTCCTTCCCCATCTCCCTTTCCCACCCAGCTCCTCTGTGACCCCCATGCCTTTTGGAGCCCCCTGGCTGCTCCCTTTCCCCATTTTTGGAGCACCCCGAGGTGCAAGCTGCTGCTCTGTGTTTCCCTCTGCAGTTCATCCCCTGGAAGAAGCTGCACCAGCAGTACCTGAGCAGGGAGGAGTCGGCCCTGCAGAGGGTGGAGCAGCTCCTGCAGCAGTTCTCCATAGCCAAGGAGCACCAGGGCTGTGTGCTGGGCTTGGTCAGGTCAGTCCTGCAGATTTTCCTGCCTTTGGGGTTTCTTCCTTTGCATCCTGGCAATTGCCACCTTTGTCTTCTAGATTGGTGGGAGAGGTGCAGGAAAATGGGGAGGGAAAAGTGGTTTTGATAGGGAAAAAAAAAACCCAAAACCACTAAAAAGAAGTACAAAACTTTCCTTTTCTTTTTGTTACCCTGTTTGGACACAAGATGCTGGGACCATGGAATTCCTTAGGTTGGAAAAGGCCTCTAAGACATGGAATCCAACCATTCCCAGCACTGCCACGTGCACAGGTGCTGGAACCTGAAATGCAAAGAACCCTCAGGACTTTGGGGCTGTGAGCCAAAGCTCAGAATTAAACACAAGATTTAATCTCAGACCTTAGAACAAACTTCCAAAGTTAAGAGCTAAAAGTGAGAATGTGGGTTTATCGTTTAGAGCAGAGACACATTAAAATAAATAAAGTTTTAGAGGTTAAGATATAGAAAAAATAAAGTAGCAAGGTGGATCCAGCTTCTGGAATCATGGAATCATGGTTTGGATTGGGAAGAGCCTTAAAATTATCCAGTTCCACCCCCTGGGCATGGAATTCCACTGGAGGACACTTGGAGACAGCCAGGAGGAGCTCCCAGGCTGGGAGCTGCATGCAGGAATTTATTCCAGCTCTTGTGGGCCACAAAACTGGGAACTCTTGTCCAAGTGGCTCCTGGCACAGGAATGGGCTGGAAATGCAACTTCCAGCTGCTCAAATTCCATGGAAAACACTGCAGGGATTCCTGGGAGCCTCTGCAGCCACCCTGGGGCTGCTTTGGAGCCAGCAGGGGAAATTCCCCCTGGTAAGGGAGAAATAGTGTGCAGCTCCTGTGATGGCAGGGTGTGCAGGGGGACAGAGGGTTCAAAAATAAAGTAAAATTATTATTAATGTCAGTATGTGCAGGGGGAGAGAGGGTTCAAAAATAAAGTAAAATTATTATTAATGGCAGTGTGTGCAGGGGGAGAGAGGGTTTAGCAGTAAAATATAACTGTTATTGAGGCATCAGTGTGTGCAGGGGGAGAGAAGACTCAAAAATAAAGTAGAATTATTTTTAATGTGAGTGTGTTCAGGTGGGGAGAAGATTTTAGAATAAAGTATAATCATTATTAATATAAGTGTGTTCAGGTGGAGAGGATTCAAGAATAATTATGATTGGGACATCAGTTTGTTCAGGTGGAGAGCAGATTTTAGAATAATTATGATTGGGACATCAGTGTGTTCAGGTGGAGAGCAGATTTAAGAATGAAGTATAATTATTATTAATGTCAATGTGTTCAGGTGGAGAGCAGATCTAAAAATAAAGTAGAATTATTATTAATATGAGTGTGTTCAGGTGGAGAGGATTCAAGAAAAATTACTGAGGCATCAGTGTGTTCAGTGAAGAGCAGATTTAAGAATGAAGTATAATTATTAATGTCAGTGTGTTCAGGTGGAGAGAAGATTTAAGAATAAAGTAGAATTATTATTAATGAGTGTGTTCAGGTGGAGAGAAGATTTTAGAATAATTATTATTGAGACATCAGTGTGTTCAGGTGAAGAGCAGATTCAAAAATAAAGTAGAATTTTTATTAATGAAAGTGTGTTCAGGTGGAGAGAAGATTTTAGAATAATTATGATTGAGATATCAGTGTGTTCAGGTGGAGAGCAGATTTAAGAATAAAGTATAATTATTATTAATGTAAGTGTGTTCAGGTGGAGAGGATTCAAGAATAATTATTGAGGCATCAGTGTGTTCAGGTGAAGGGCAGATTTAAGAATGAAGTATAATTATTGTTAATGTCAGTGTGTTCAGGTGGAGAGCAGATTTAAGAATGAAGTAGAATTATTATTAATATGAGTGTGTTCAGGTGGAGAGCAGATGTAGGCAGTTCATGCACGGTTTGGTTACCAGACCCAAACTCTCTTTTCTTTGCTGCCTTTTCCCCCAAAATTCAGAATGCCAGGAGGGTTTGTATTGCAGGAGGCCTCCAAGTCCCTTCAGTGCCCGCTGCCCTGCAGAGCAGGGACCCTCCCTGCCCAGCCTGCCCAGCCTGCCCAGGCAGCACTCCCAGTCCCCATGTCCTGGTGTCACCTGGAGCAGGGAGCAGACACCCCTGAGTCCTGCCCGGCAGCTGAGGCCCAGCTCTCTGCACCAGCACTGCTGGAGCTTCTGAAGCTTCTCCCAGCCCAGGGCTTGTTCATGGCCCTCCCCAGTGTCCCTTTACACTGACAGCAAACAAAGCACAAAGCCAGGGCTGGACAGGTGGGGAAATCCCTGTTTGTTGATGGCCTCAGAGCTGTGCATGTGGGCCATGGTTTGGTTTTGCTTCTTGGGCTACATTCAACAAAGAAGAGCTTGTAAATAATTCTTGTTTGTTAAGTTAATATTTTTGTTTGTTAATTTCAGATTTTTTTGTTAATTTTAAGATTTTGTTTTGTTAATGTATTAAAGAGTGCGTTGGGTTTTGGTGTTGGTTAATGATTAATGTGTTTATTTTTTGTTCTGAAACAGGTAAAGTAGGTTTATAACTTGAAAAGGGTATAAAGAAAACTTTATTCATAGCTTCCAGGTTTCTTTTCTCTGTGTGTTTCTCACAGAGGCCTGTCCAGTTTTTAATGGTTGGAAGCTTTGTATCACTTTTTAAAATGTCTCTCATGTAAAACTGTGACAGCAAGTATGATTGGTTGAGTGCAGAAGTCAAAACTGTGCTTGAAGAAGCACCTACAGACACGTGAATGTTTTTAATTTTCTAAAAGATGGCTATTTGTTAATTTACCATATACAAAGCTAGGTATACACTGATTAGTGTGCAAGGCTCTTTGTGCAGAGGCAATCCCTTCTGACAATTATTAACATTATTTCTGCTGAGTTCAGTGTCTCTCAAAGGGTCCATGATGCCTAACAATGAGCTGTGGGCATTAGCAGAGGTGCTCTGGAGCAGCCACCAGTTCTGGGACAGTAAATCCTCATTATTGCTCCTGCACAGGTTGGTGTCATCCACGGGACCCAAGGTGGATCCCAGCAGGCTCCTCCAGGTTTTGGGAAGTCATCCCCTCTTCCCAAAGGCTCAGTTCTGTGTCCTCAGCAAATTCCCAGATTTACACAGCAAGCCTGGGGTGAGTTGCACTCTTATTTCTGTTTTATTTCTTTTATTTCACTCTTATTTCTGGGATTTTTTTAACAAATTCCTGCAGTGTCCCCAAACCCTCTGGATGTTCTTGTGGTGCCTCTTGTCACCAAAGGGATTTGGAGGAAAACCCTGGAGCTCTGTTTTGATGGATTTTGGTTCCTCTGGAATCAAGGCAAACAACTGGAAGGAATGATCCCTAAATCCCACAAACAGTGGCTTGGGAGCAGCCAGCACCTCTCCAGGCACTCAGCATCCCCTGGGCTCTGACCTCAGCCCACATTTCTGGGGAGATCCAGGCTCTCCTTCCTGCCATTCCCATCAGTTGGATGGATAGGGCTGGACAGGATGCAGATCTGGGATGTGCCCCTCCCTTTTTAACCCATCCTACAACTCTGCTGGATTGGGGCCACTCTGCCCTCCTGTACCCCAGACTCCTCCCTCTGTGGGGTTATTTGGGATCATTTGGGCTGACAATGATGCCTCAGGTTTGGCTTTTTTATGTTTCACATTCTGTGCTGCTTTAGTGTGTGGGTCTGAGCTCCATATTCTGGGATGGTGAGCTCTGTGCACAGAGCAGGGAGACAAAACAATTCCTGCTCCAGCTGGGCACCAAGGACAAATGCCCCAAATCTCAGCCCAGGAGCACAAACCCCGTGGGCTGGAGAGAGAAAAACAAGCAGGGTGGGACTGCAGGGGCTAAAGCTGGAATGGGACAATGAACTGCAAGATGCAAATGGAGCAGAACTGATCCCAGGGAGAGACCCCGGGAGCGCTGGTGCATTTTGGGGCCATTTTGGTTCATCTTGGGTGCAGCCCTGGCTGGGCTCTGGTGCTGCCCAAGGTGCATCCATGGAGGAGATCCTTGGAATGAATCCCTGCTTTATTCTGGGACTCTGCCCAGCCTCTGCTCTAGCTCAGCCTGCACAGGACATCAATTTAAGATTTAACAGCTCCTCACTGAATTTTTCCACCTCCTAGTGAGATTTTCCTGGAAGCTCCAAGCTTTTTGCTGTGTTTTCCTTGTCCTTCCCCAGGCAGAGAAGATGTGGGCCACGTTTGCTGTCATGGTGCTGTTCTCTGATGGTGTTGGTGACATCCAGAGGCTCCTGCAGTGTTTCCAGAGCCCCCGCTCAGAGCTGGCCCTGCTGGAGGTCACTGAGGTGCTGCACTGCATGGCCACACTGCTGCTGGCCATGAGGAACAGGAGCATTCCCATCTCCAACAGGTCAGGAGCTCCCACTCCAGCCCTGGGCACTTCCCACCATCCCAGGCTGCTCCAATCCAGCCTCGGATGTTCCAGGGATGAGGCAGCCCCAGCTGCTCTGGCAATCTCAGCCCAGCCAGGAATTCCTCATTGCCAAGATCCCATCCCTGGCTGCCCTCTGGCACTGGGAGCCATTCCCTGGGTGCTGTCCCTGCAGGCCTTGGCCCCAGTCCCTCTGCAGCTCTCCTGGAGCCCCTTCAGGCCCTGCAAGGAGCTCTGAGGTCTCTCCAACTTGGAGTTTCAGATCCTTCCAGTTCCCAATAGGACCCAGCCCAAGAATTCCTTCCCATGATCCCATCCCAAATCTCCCCTTTTTTCCAATCTGAAGCCATTCCCTGTGTCCATCCCTTATCCCAAGTCTCTCTCCTGGAGCCCCTTCAGGCCCTGCAAGGAGCTCTGAGGTCTCTCCAACTCTGAGTTTCAAATCCCTCTGGTTCCCAGCAGAGCAGGAGCATTCCCATCTCCACCAGGTCAGAGTTTCCCACTCCATCCCTGGGCACTTCCCACCATCCCAGGGTGCTCCAATCCAGCCTTGGATGTTCCAGGGATGAGGCAGCTGCAGCTGGTCTGGGAATTACTTCCCAATATCCCATCCCAAATCTCCCCTTTTTTCCAATCTGAAGCCATTCCCTGTGTCCACCCCTTATCCCAAGTCTCTCTCCTGGAGCCCCTTCAGGCCCTGGCAGGGGCTCTGAGGTCTCTCCAACTTGGAGTTTCAAACCCCTCCAGGTCCCAGCAGAACAGGAGCATTCCCATCTCCAACAGTTCAGGAGTTTCCTATTCCAGCCCTGGGCACTTCCCACCATCCCAGGGTGCTCCAATCCAGCCTTGAATGTTCCAGGGATGAGGCCCCTGAAGTTTCTCTGGGAATTCCTTCCCATGATCCCATCCCAAATCTCCCCTTTTTCCAATCTGAAGCCATTCCCTGTGTGCTGTCCCTCCATCCTTTATCCCAAAGTCTCTTTCTTGGAGCCCCTTTAGGCCCTGCAAGGAGCTCTGAGGTCTCTCCATCTCCGAGTTTCAAATCCCTCTGGTTCCCAGGGGGTTTGGTTCTCCAGCCTGCAGCTCCTCTAGGAGTGTTCATTCCAGTGCTTCTCCCCCTCCCAGCCAGGAATTCCTTCCCAATTTCCCATCTATCCCATCCCTCTGGCATTGCCCCTTATCCTTTCACTCCTTTCAGGATACAATATTGAAAAAACTCCAAATTTTCCCCAAATAAAAACAGGATTTAAGGACTCCTCCTGCTCAGCTATGACAATTTAATGTTTTTAATTCCTCCCCAAAATTGATTTATTTTACTTCATTCCAAGTTGTAGGAGCTCCTTCCCTCATGATCCTTTTGTTCCCCCCCAAAAAAGGGGGATCTGAGCAGAGATTCCTTGAGATTCCTTCAGGATTGCAGTGGGAATAAGGAGGAAGGACACAGGGAAATCCTTCTTGGCAGAAAATCGGGAAGGAACTGGAGTGGAAAATGCAAACAGCCAGGAATTAGATGGCTCTGGAAGCTCTGTGAGCTGTAACCCAGCCTGTGGGACAGGGAAAGGCTCATCCTGAGGGAAACTGGGATGTTTGTTTGGGATGTTAATGATTGATTAACTGCTGGATCAAGTCATTAACCTGCAGGAAATGTGGCAGGTCAAAATCCAGGGATTTTAGCATTTCCATCTCCCTGGACAGGCCAGACCAGAAAAAGTGGGAATTCCTCCTGGGAGTAAGGAGGAAATGTGTCCTGGAGGAATTTCCTGATTGCTCTTTGCAGCAATGAATGAGTCTGAGGGTCCAAATCATGAGGAGAGACACAAAACCTGTCCTGGAGGGCTGGAAGAAAGGAACAAAACTGCCCTGAAAGAGGGAAAAGCACAGTGGGAAAGCCCTGCTGGAGAATCCAGGTTAATTTTAAACCAGTTGTTGTCAGCAGAGTTAAAACCAAAGAATCTCTTCTCCCTCTGCAGGGAAAAAGCACCAAGAATCAATACCAGAGTTAAAAACCTCCCCTGAAACCATTCTAGACCAAAAACTGCTTCACCCTAAAGCCCAGATCAGCCCCAGATTCCCTGTGAGGTCCCCAGCCCCAGCCCTGCTGGTAATTGTGGCTCAGGAGTTCAGAATTATCCCCTGCACTCTGATCCCAGGTCAGGCTGGCATGGGAGACCTGGAATGCAAACCTGGCAGGGCAGAATTGTTTAAAGAACATTTTCAATTATTCATCACTTCCTGCAGAGCTTGAGGCTGTTTTTTTTTTAATTATCCAAGGTATTGGTGGTGTTTTAAGTGGCTGCAGAGGTTTAATTTGTTATTAATTATATATTAAAATAGATTTAAAAATTATTTCTATATATATTATATATATTACCTATACAATGTATATTTTATATAATTATTTAATATTTAATATATATAAATATTATATATATTTATATATTAATATAATGTATGTTATATATGTTATCTAAAAATTATATCTATATATAAATATAGATATAAATATGTATATTAAAAATATTTCTATATATATTATATATTAACTATATAAGATATATTCTATATAATTATTTTATATTACATATATAAATAATATATATCTTATATATAAATATTATATATACTATATATATTATATATATAAATTACTTATATATAAAAATATATATATAAAATTATTTTTTATATATTAACTATATAAGATATATTTTATATAATTATTATATATTTTATATATATAAATAATAAATATCTTTCTAAATAAATATAATATATATAAATTATATATGTATATATATGAATATATATATAAATATATATAAAATTATTTTTATATATTAAGTCTATAAGATATATTTTATACAATTATTATATATTTAATATATAAATAATATATATATTTATAAATAAATAAAATATATACTATATATTATTAATATAAATATTATAATATATAATTATATATAATTTTATATAATTATTATATATATAATTATTATATATTTCCTATTTCTCAGTAATTCCTGTTTTATCCCTTTTTTTTTCCAGGCTTCACTACAATATTTTCTACTGTCTGTATCTGATGGAAAATGCCTCTGGAATTGTGCAGCCCCTGCAAGAGGGAAGAATGGATTCGAGTCCCAGGTGATCCAAGCAGTGCATGCTGAGCAATTCCATGGAGTGAGGAGCAAATATTCCAAATATTGCACAGCAGGGAAAGGTGGAGCTGGATCAGGGGCACAGCTGATCCTGCTGCTCACCACCTTCCCAGGAATTCTCAGAGGAAAATCAGGATTGGGCTTTCCGTGTGTAAAATTGGAATTGCTGAGTTTAAATTTGTTCCTGGGTCTGTTTTGGAATCATGGCAGGGTTTGGAATCACCCAGTGCCACCCCTGCCATGGCAGGGCCACCTCCCCCTGTCCCAGGCTGCTCCAGCCCCAGGGTCCAACCTTGGACATTGCAGGGATCAGGGGCAGCCCCAGCTGCTCTGGGAATCCCTTCCCAAAATCCCAGCCCAGTCTCCCTCTCCAGGGAATTCCCTCCATTCCCAGCCCTCCCAGCCTGGGATTGGATCCATCCCCACCCCGACTCCTCTCTAGGAAGGGATTTTGGGATCTGGGGGCTTCACTGGGAACCTCAGGACTCCAGGAAGGGTCTCCCTCCCCTTTTCCATCCCCAACTTCCATAAAAATCCCTCGGGATGGATTCTGAGTGTCCCAAATCCCAGAATCCCAGAGCAGTTTGGGTGGGAAGGGACCTTAATGTCCATCCCATTGCAATCCCACCATCCCAGGCTGCTCCAATCCTTCCTTGGACATTGCAGGGATGCAGGGGCAGCCCCAGCTGCTCTGGCAATCCCAGCCCAGCCAGGAATTCCTCATTGCCAAGATCCCATCCCTGGCTGCCCTCTGGCACTGGGAGCCATTCCCTGGGTGCTGTCCCTGCAGGCCTTGGCCCCAGCCCCTCTGCAGCTCTCCTGGAGCCCCTGGAATGTGCTGGAAGCTCTCCCTGGATCCCTCCCTTCTCCAGGGGAACATTCCTGTTGATTTTTGGGGTTTTCTTTTTTGTTTTTGTTAAGGTTGGGATTTAAGTGTTAGAGATGGTATTTTGTGTTTAGGTTTAGATATTTATTATTTTTACTTATATTATAAGTAAAAATAAGCTTTATTATAAGTAAAAATATAAGCTTTATAGTATTTTACTACTAAGTTATGAGATGGTTAACTCTTTTTTATATAAGGTTTTTTTAAGGTTAAACTATTTAATTAAGAAATGATACTTAAATTGTTTTTACTTTTAAAATAATATCTAATTATTTGGCATTTGTAATGTGGTCTTTTGTCTAATTACAAAGTGTTATTTAAACTCATGAAGAAGAAGGTAAAGAAAAAGGATTAGTTACTGTCTTAGAACTTTTATTTTAGTTTTATATATATTACTATATTTTAAAAGTTTAAACTTTTCTATTCAGTGATATTACACCCTTCTAATTAAACTACACCCTTGTAATCTCAGTGCTATTGATTAATTTTGGAAGTCTTCTCCACACCTTAGGTGAAATGCAGTGTTCTCATGTGAGCCAGAGTCTCTCAGTACAGAAAGTCTCAAATTCTCAGCATCCAGAGCTCCAACACCTTCCCAGCACTCCCAATAAATAAGGGATTTATTAGTGAGGAATTGAGCACTTCCCTGGCCTGTGGAGGTCCAAGCTGGGTTCCTTTTCTGCTGCTGGATTGAGTCATTTCATTCCTTATCCTCCCCTGGAGAAAGGGGATGGGATAAGTTCATCCATCACCAAGGTCTAACAGAGATAAAACTGGTTCTAATGAGCTTAAGGTGCCAAATTCATCCTTAAAGCAGAGCTTGGTCCCTCAAAAATATATTTTCCTTTGTTTGTGAGTGATGTTTCCCTTTATTTCCTAAAAATTCTTTCCCAAGACTTCTTATTTTGTCTCCATTATTTTCTTATTCCATGCTTTTCTCCTTTTCCCAATAACCAAGTTGGGATGGGATCAATCTCTCTGGTTTCCCTGTTGATTTCTTTGAACTGGGATGGTTTATTTTAGGCATTTTTAAAGGATTCATTCCTTCCCCACTTGTTGATTGGAATTTTTTCCCTGTTTTTTAGTGGACGGGCTGATGTCAGACTGACCCATGAACAGCAGAGGATTTTGAGTCACAAAATTGAGCCTGGCCAAACAGTGAAAATAATGGCATTTGCAGGTAAGAGCCCAGAATGTTGGAAAAATGCTTGGGCAATTCCCAATCTGCTCCTTCCCTCCCTGATCCCCCTGTCTGAGGGATTGTGAGATCCCAAGGGGATTAATTTGTGCCTCTGGGATAACAAATTTAAGGGAAAATCTGCCAAAAATGGAGGCAAAATAAAAACAGGGGAAAGAGGAGTGGGAAAATGTGAAAAAGCCCTACAGATCCTGAGTTTGGGACAGGAGGAAGGGGAGATGCTCCAGGTGCTGGAGTAGAGATTGCCCTGGAACCCCTGGAGGAGCAGTTCCTGAAGGACTGAGCCCATGGATAAAGGGAGCAGTTCCTGAAGGACTGAGCCCATGGATAAAGGGAGCAGTTCCTGAAGGATTGACCCCATGGATAAAGGGAGCAGTTCCTGAAGGACTGACCCCATGGATAAAGGGAGCAGTTCCTGAAGGACTGAGCCCATGGATAAAGGGAGCAGTTCCTGAAGGATTGACCCCATGGATAAAGGGAGCAGTTCCTGAAGGACTGACCCCATGGATAAAGGGAGCAGTTCCTGAGGGACTGAGCCCATGGATAAAGGGAGCAGTTCCTGAAGGACTGAGCCCATGGATAAAGGGAGCAGTTCCTGAAGGACTGAGCCCATGGATAAAGGGAGCAGTTCCTGAAGGACTGAGCCCATGGATAAAGGGAGCAGTTCCTGAAGGGCTGACCCCATGGATAAAGGGAGCAGTTCCTGAAGGATTGACCCCATGGAAAGGGAGCAGTTCCTGAAGGATTGACCCCATGGATAAAGGGAGCAGTTCCTGAAGGATTGAGCCCATGGATAAAGGGAGCAGTTCCTGAAGGACTGACCCCATGGATAAAGGGAGCAGTTCCTGAAGGATTGAGCCCATGGATAAAGGGAGCAGTTCCTGAAGGATTGACCCCATGGATAAAGGGATCCAGGCTGGAGCAGTTCCTGAAGGGCTGGACCCACACTGGAGTGGGCAGTTCCAAAGCTGTGCCAGGAAGGTTTGGGTTGGGCTTTGGGACACTCCCTCCATGCAAAGGCTTATCCAGCCCTTGCTCAGCTGCCCAGGCAGGGGTGCAGTCCCCATTCCTGCAGGGATTTTAAAACCCTGTGGATGTGGCACCTGGGGTCATGGATGGCCTTGGAAGTGCTGGGAATGGTTGGGCTTGACCCTAAAGAACTTTGCCAACCTAAATAATTCTCTGTTTCTCTGAAATCAGGAGTGAAGTGGAATATTTGAGTTGGCACAGCAGGAGAAGGAGGTTGTAAAAAAAAAAATTAAAATATATGGAATAATTAATTCCTGACCATGGATATTTTATTCCTTATTTTTATTTTATTCCTTCTTTTCCTCTCCTCCCCAGGCACAGGGAAAACCTCGACCTTGGTGAAGTACGCGGAGAAATTCTCGGAGCTGAAATTCCTTTACCTGACTTTTAACAAAGCTGTGGCAGAGAAGGGGAAAATGGTTTTCCCAAAGAATGTCACCTGCAAGACCTTCCACTCCTTGGCTTTTGGAAGCATTGGGAGACAGTGAGTGGGGAATTCCAGTTCCTTTGTGGAAGCAGGGAAAGGACGAGGAAGGGGAAGTGGTTTTGAGGGGGAAATTTGTCATTTATGGTTTCCAGATGGATGCACTGGGATGCTCCAGGGATTTTAGCATCCATGGGAGCACCCCAAAGGCAAGGAATGGTTTAGGAGATGGAAATCCACTGGGAATGAGGTGTTCCCACTTCCCATTCCCACTGGAATGCTACAGCTGCTCCAAGTGCTGCTTTTCCTGAGGATCTGTTCCTTTCCCAGAGGATCCATTTCCTTATCCTGAGCTGTTGTCATGATCCAGTTTCTGTCCAGTTCTGGCACATCTAAGCTGGGGGTAGCAAGGAAAATGAGCCATGACCTGGAACCCCAGGAAAATCCCATTCCCTGGCTCTGCAAACACTCTGGAATTCCAGGGATGAGCTCAATTTGCCATTTCTGAAATGTATAAAATCAGCAAATCTGTGCTTCCACCAGGACAAATCTGTGCAGATTTAAAGATATTCCATTATTAGAATGAATTGGGATATAAAGCCAAGCTTTTTCCAGGGATAGTGCACAAAAAAAAAAAAAGGGATTTCTGTGGGTTTTAACTTTTTTTTTTGTCTTTTTCCTGTCTTTTTTCTTTCCTGTCTTTTTTCTTTCCTGTCTTTTTTCTTTCCTGTCTTTTTTCTTTCCTGTCTTTTTTCTTTCCTGTCTTTTTTCTTTCCTGTCTTTTTTCTTTCCTGTCTTTTTTCTTTCCTATCTTTTTTCTTTCCTGTCTTTTTTCTTTTTTCTTTCCCCCCTCTTTTTTTTTTCCCCCTCTCTTTTTTCCCCCTCTCTTTTCCCCCCCTCTCTTTTTTCCCCCCTCTCTTTTTTTCCCCCCTCTCTTTTTTTTCACCCCTCTCTTTTTTTCCCCCTCTCTTTTTTTTCCCCCCTCTCTTTTTTCCCCCTCTCTTTTTCCCCCCTCTCTTTTTTTCCCCCCTCTCTTTTTTCCCCCCTCTCTTTTTTCCCCCCTCTCTCTTTTTCCCCCCTCTCTCTCTTTTTTCCCCCCTCTCTCTCTTTTTTCCCCCCTCTCTCTCTTTTTTTCCCCCCTCTCTTTTTTTCCCCCCTCTCTTTTTTTCCCCCCTCTCTTTTTTCCCCCTCTCTTTTTTCCCCCCTCTCTTTTTTATCCCCCCCTCTTCTTTTTTATCCCCCCCTCTTCTTTTTTCCCCTCTTCTTTTTTCTCCTGTGTTTTTTTTCCCTTTTTTTCTGTCTTTTTTTTTCCTTGTATTTTTTTTCCCCTCTCTTTTTTCTCTCGGTTTTTTGTCCTTTTTTTGTCTTTTTTTTTGTCCCTCTGGCACAGGTACAAAGAGAAAGGCAAGCTGAACTTCTCCAAGATGTCAGTTTATTCCATCAGCTTCCTCCTCCGGAACAGGGAGGGCCAGCCCCTGTTTATAAGAGGGAAAACAGTGTCCCAAACCTTGGGAAACTTCTTCTCCTCCTCAGATGAGGAGATCTGTGAGGAGCACGTGCCCCTGTGGTTCAAAAACACCCATGGAAACATGCAGCAAATGAGCCCACAGGAAAAAAGGGTGAGTTTTTGGGATGGAGCCTCTGGAGTTTTCTGAGGTTGGATGGATGGGGTTTGGAGAAGTCTGGGATAGTGGGAAATGCCCCTGCTCATGGGTGGGGTGGCACTGGATGGGCTTTGAGGTCTCTTCCAACCCAAAGCATTCCATGATTTAATAAAATAATTCATGTTCATCCTCCTTCCCAAAATGTTGATCGGAAGAGATTTTCCCGTGTTCAACTGAAATTTGGGATTGGGGAATCCTTCAGTCAAGGGCTGGGGTCAGTCTGAGCTTTGGGAGAAATCAGAGGCAATTCCAAAGGAATTGGGATGAAAATCAAAAGATTGGGAGGAGGAAAGTCAAAAGATTGGGAGAAGGAGGAATCAAAAGGTTGGGAGGAGGAAGAATCAAAGATTGGGATGAAAATCAAAAGGTTGGGAGGAGGAATCAAAAGGCTGGGAGGAGGAATCAAAAGGCTGGGAGGAGGAATCAAAAGGTTGGGAGGAGGAGGAATCAAAAGGTTGGGAGAAGGAGGAATCAAAAGGTTGGGAGAAGGAGGAATCAAAAGATTGGGAGAAGGAGGAATCAAAAGGTTGAGATGAGGAATCAAAAGGTTGGGGGGAGGAATCAAAGATTGGGAGGAGGAGGAATCAAAAGATTGGGAGGAAGAATCAAAAGGTTGGGAGGAGAATCAAAGATTGGGAGGAGGAATCAAAGATGAGATGAAAATCAAAAGATTGGGAGGAAGAATCCAAAGGTTGGGAAGAAAATCCGAAGCTTGGGAGGAAAATCCAAAGGTTGAGATGAGGAATCAAAGGTTGGGAGGAAGAATCAAAAGGTTGGGAGGAGGAGGAATCAAAAGGTTGGGAGGAGGAGGAATCAAAAGGTTGGGAGGAGGAATCAAAAGATTGGGACGCGGAGGAATCAAAAGATTAGGAGGAAGAATCAAAAGGTTGGGAGGAGAATCAGAGATTGGGAGGAGGAATCAAAGATGAGATGAAAATCAAAAGATTGGGAGGAAGAATCAAAAGGTTGGGAGGAAGGATCAAAGATGAGATGAAAATCAAAAGATTGGGAAGAAGAATCCAAAGGTTGGGAAGAAAATCCGAAGGTTGGGAGGAAAATCCGAAGGTTGAGATGAGGAATCAAAAGACTGGGAGGAGAAATCAAAGCCTGTGAGGAAGGTGATGCTTGGGGAAAAAAGGCATAATCCCTGTTTTCCCTAAAAAATACTTCCAGCCAATCTCCTCCCCAAATCCTTGTGGATCTGAGGAGCTGCTTGGGGTGGGAAAAAAGGGATCTGGGGCTTTTTGGGAATGGCTCCCAGTGCCAGAGGGCAGCCAGGGATGGGATCTTGGCAATGAGGAATTCCTGGCTGGGCTGGGATTGCCAGAGCAGCTGGGGCTGCCCCTGCATCCCTGGCAGTGCCCAAGGCCAGGCTGGAGCACCCTGGGACAGGGAAAATGTCCCTGTCCATGGATGGGGTGGGACTGGATGGGCTTTGAGGCCCTATCCAGCCCAAACCATTCCATAATTTTATTTTTATCCCCTGGTTTTATCCCAATCCTTCTATTTTCCCATTTTAGATCAACGTGGAAGAGGCCAAAGAGATTTGGCACAACATGAAGAAGCTGGATGGAGATGCAGAGAAGGAATACAAGATGAGTTGTGATGGTAAAAGAGATGGAAAATCCCTTGGGAAAAAGGGATTTGCTGGTGGAAAAAGCAGTGGATTTATTATTCCTACTTCTGGCTGAGCATCCAGAAGGAGAAAATCCCTTTTTTCCTGCCAATAGCTCACCAGGGAATATCCCTCTGGCTCAACTTTTCATTTTATATGTATTTATAAAATACAGAAAATGAATTTGTGCTCCCACTAGGATAAAAATGTGCAGATTTTAAGGATATTCACATTTTTTAATGGCTAAAAATAAAGCCCAGAATTTGGAAGTTGCTTCCAGCGCATCCTTTCCTCTGGATAGTGCTGGAGATAACTGGAAAAAAAACCTTTTTACTGGAATTTTTGGTGGGTATTAAGAAACCTGAAATCATCAAATTTGGGCTGCCAAGGGAGACAGAGGTTTTTTGCAACCCTACCAAATGTGGAAATTCCAAACAGGAAGCGAAGCCAGAATGTCGCAAAAAAAAAAAAAAACAAAAACCAAAAAAAGGGTAAAAGGGGATTTGTTTTAAAGATCCTGGTGGATCTTCCCTGTCCTTGAAATTCCTGATTTTTCCCCTCAGGATATTTGAAACTTTGGCAGCTCAGCAAGCCCCAGCTCTCAGGATACGATGCCATTTTTGTGGATGAAGCCCAGGACTGCACTCCAGGTGAGTTATTCCAGGAGCTCCAGTCCCACTCCCAGAGGGGATTTCCAGGTGCTCAGGAATGGGATGGAAGTATCTCAACCTAAACATTTGGAATTTAAACTCGTTTTCCCCTCAGGTTTGACATTTAAACTGAGCTTTCCCTTGGGATGGGAGCAGGTTCTTCCCTCATGATCCAAACTGAGCTTTCCCTTGGCTTTGGATACTCATGATCCCAACTGAGCTTTTCCTTGGATTTGGATTGGAGCAGGTTCTTCCCTCATGATCCAAACTGAACTTTTCCTTGGGTTTGGATTGGTGCAGGTTCTTCCCTCATGATCCAAACTGAGCTTTCCCTTGGATTTGGAGCAGGTTCTTCCCTCGTGATCCAAACTGAGCTCTTCCTTGGGTTTGGATACTCATGATCCAAACTGAGCTTTTCCTTGGGTTTGGATTGGAGCAGGTTCTTGCCTCGTGATCCAAACTGAACTTTTCTTTGGATTTGGACCCTCATGATCCAAACTGAAATTTTGCTTGGGTTTGGAGCAGGTTCTTCCCTCATGATCCCAACTGATCTTTTCCTTGGATTTGGACCCTCATGATTCCAACTGAGCTTTCCCTTGAGTTTGGAGCAGGTTCTTCCCTCATGATCCCAACTGAGCTTTCCCTTGGCTTTGGAGCAGGTTCTTGCCTCATGATCCAATTTTTTTTTTCCCTCACGGCCATTGTGGATATTGTGTAATCCCAAAACTGTGGGAAAATCCTGGTGGGAGACCCTCAGCAGCAGAGGTTCTTCCCTTGTGATCCACACTGAGCTTTCCCTTAGGTTTGAAGCAGGTTCTTCCCTCCTGATCCCAAATGAGCTTTCCCTTGAGTTTGGAGCAGGTTCTTCCCTCATGATCCAATTTTTTTTCCCTCACAGCCATCGTGGATATTGTATAATCCCAAAAATGTGGGAAGATCCGGTGGGAGACCCTCACCAGCAGAGGTTCTTCCCTCATGATCCAAACTGAGCTTTCCCTTGGGTTTGGATTGGAGCAGGTTCTTCCCTCATGATCCCAAATGAGGTTTCCCTTGGGTTTGCAGCAGGTTCTTCCCTCATGGTCCATACTGAGCTTTTCTTTGGATTTGGACCCTCATGATCCCAACTGAGCTTTCCCTTGGCTTCGGAGCAGGTTCTTCCCTCATGATCCAATTTTTTCTTCCCTCACAGCCATCGTGGATATTGTGTAATCCCAAAAATGTGGGAAGATCCTGGTGGGAGACCCCCACCAGCAGAGGTTCTTCCCTCATGATCCAAACTGAGCTTTTCCTTGGGTTTGGAGCAGGTTCTTCCCTCATGATCCCAACTGAGCTTTCCCTTGAGTTTGGAGCAAGTTCTTCCCTCATGATCCCAACTGAGCTTTCCCTTGAGTTTGGAGCAGGTTCTTCCTTCATGATCCAATTTTTTTTTCCCCTCACAGCCATTGTGGATATTGTGCAATCCCAAAAGTGTGGGAAGATCCTGGTGGGAGACCCTCACCAGCAGATCTACACCTTCCGGGGGGCTGTCAACACCCTGTACTTACTGCCTCACACCCACGTGTACTACCTGACCCAGGTAAGGGAGCGTTTTCCATGGATAAATCCCAGTTCCATGGAAAATTTGGCACTGTGGAGGGTTTACTTTTCCCTGGATTCATGGGAATCTGGCAGTTGTGGGGCTTTAGTGGAGGGATCCCATCCTGTTGGTGGAAAAGTGGGAGTTGGGATTGAGGCCTTGTTTCAGGGAGATTCCTCTTTTTTGAGGGGATCACATCTGGAATGCTGTATCCATCTGTGGGATCCACCAGACCTGGGGCTGCTGGGAGAGCTGGGAATGTTCCCCTGGAGAAGGGAGGGATCCAGGGAGAGCTTCCAGCACATTCCAGGGGCTCCAGGAGAGCTGCAGAGGGACTGGGGCCAAGGCCTGCAGGGACAGCACCCAGGGAATGGCTCCCAGTGCCAGAGGGCAGCCAGGGATGGGATCTTGGCAATGAGGAATTCCTGGCTGGGCTGGGATTGCCAGAGCAGCTGGGGCTGCCCCTGCATCCCTGGCAGTGCCCAAGGCCAGGCTGGACACTGGGGCTGGAGCAGCCTGGGACACTGGGAGGTGGCCCTGCCATGGCCAGGATTTCCAGGAATATTCTGAGGATTTTGGTGCCTTTTCCAGGAAAAAAAATTATCCAGGAGTTTGGTGGGAATGGCATCATTTGGATTTAAGAATGACCAGGATTTCCAGGAATATTTTGAAGGGATTTTATTGCTTTTTCAAAGAGGAAACTTCTCTAGAAGGTCTTAAAAATAACCAAGATTCCCAGGAACGTTTTGGAGGGATTTTGATGCTTTTGCCATGGAAAAAACCAGTCCAGAAGATTGCTGGGAATCCCATGATTCCATATAGATAGATAGAATTGTAGAGATTCCAAGAATTACTCTGGTTTTCCTGCTGATCCCGGGATTTTTCCAGAGTTTCAGGTTCGGCCCCGAGATCGCCTACGTGGGAGCCACGATCCTGGATGTGTGCAAAGGGATCCGCAGCAAAACCCTGCTGGGAGGGAACCAAAGGGGTGAGCTGGCAATGGGCATCCCCCAGGAATCATGAATTCATTAATTATAATAAATAAGAATATTAATTATTTTGATCCGGAATAATTAATATATAATATAATATAATATAATATAATATAATATAATATAATATAATATAATATAATATAATATAATATAATATAATATAATATAATATAATATAATATAATATAATATAATATAATATAATATATCTTTTATATATATTATATATATCTATATAATGTTATATATATTATATATATAATAGCATATATTATATGCTATTATATACTATTATATAATATTATATATCTATTATATATTATATATAATGTTATATATAATATATATTATATATAATATATAATATATCTATTATATACTGTTATAGTATATTATAGTATATTTCTATTCTATAATACTATACTATATTATACGATATTATTATATATTATTACATTATATATCACATTCTATATTATTATTATAGCATTACTTTTATTATTTTTATTATAATATTACTATATTTATTATAGTATTTTATTAATGGTAAAGTATATTATACATATTAATATAGCAAATATTAATATAATATTTAATATCAATATAACATCAGATACTATTATTATTAAATAATAAATAATATTACTGAACTATATTAAATAATCTTATATTAATTTGATGTATAATAAATATAATTAAATTATAAATTTAATTTATACATTTGATTATGAGTTAGCAATATATTCATTACATTGGGAAATACTTAATCAATTGTATTAAATAATAATATTAACAATGAGTATTAAATAATGAAATTGATGTAATTTAATTTATTCTAAAATTTGGTAATTGTGTGCTTGGAGATAAATATTCAATTCTTTTCCCAAAAATAAATATTTAGTTAATTTCCTAAATTCTATTAATAATGGAAAATATTAAATTAATAATAACAGGTAAATATTAACTATTAACAGATTAAAAAATTTCTATATTAAGTAGTAGCAGATAAAAATGTAAATATTAAATTAATAATAAAATATATAATTAACAATGAAATGTAAATATTAAATTAACAATAAAATATAAAGCTAAATTAATATTAAAATAGAAATAATGATTAATTTATTAAATTCAATTAATATTAAAATATAAATAATACTATAATAATAAATGAATATTAAATTAATAGTAACAGATAGAATAATAACAGATAAATATTTAATAAAATATTAAATCAACATAAAATATATATTAAGAAGTAATAAAGTATTGAATAATAAAATATTACATTTAATAATTACAGACAAAATATTATAAATATTAAATGAAGAATGGGATATTAGATTATATTAATATTTAAATATCAATAATAACTAATTTACCAAAATTAAATTAGTACTAAAATATAAGTAATAATAAATATTTTTTTAAAGGCTAAATTAAATTAATAATAAGCTATAAATAATTCATTCCCTAAAATTAAATCTAAATAGTAATTAATTTCCTAAAATAGAATAATAATAAAAGATAACAATAAATTTAGTAATAAGATATAATAAATAAAATAACTTATTCATTAAATAATATTAATTATTAATTAACCAGGAATTCCAGCTGGGAATGGCTGTGGGTAACTGGGAATTCCAGCTGGGAATGCTCTGGGTAACTGGGAATGGCTGTGGGTAACTGGGAATGCTGTGAGTAACTGGGAATTCCAGCTGGGAATGGCTGTGGGTAACTGGGAATTCCGGCTGGGAATGCTCTGGGTAACTGGAAATTCCTGGCAGAATGGCTGTTGGTAACTGGGAATGGCTGTGGGTAACTGGGAGTTCCAGCTGGGAATGCTGTGGGTAACTGGGAATTCCAGCTAGGAATTCCAGCAGGTAACTGGGAATGCTGTGGGTAACTGGCAATTCCAGCTAGGAATTCCAGCAGGTAACTGGGAATGCTGTGGGTAACTGGCAATTCCAGCTGGGAATGCTGTAACTGGGAATTCCAGCTGGGAATGGCTGTGGGTAACTGGGAATTCCAGCTGGGAATGGCTGTGGGTGACTGGGAATTCCTGGCAGGAATGGCTGTGGGTAACTGGGAATTCCAGCTGGGAATGGCTGTGGGTAACTGGGAGTTCCAGCTGGGAATGCTGTGTTTAACTGGGAATTCCAGCTGGGAATGGCTGTGTTTAACTGGGAATGCTGTGTTTAACTGGGAATTCCAGCTGGGAATGCTGTGTTTAACTGGGAGTGCTGTGTTTAACTGGGAATGCTGTGTTTAACTGGCAATTCCAGCTGGGAATGCTGTGTTTAACTGGGAATTCCAGCTGGGAATGCTGTGTTTCACTGGGAATTTCTCCCCCAGGGGACGTGCGGGGGGCCCGGCAGGGGAAGGTGGCGCTGCTGTCCCGCAGCAACAGGAACGTGTTTGAGGACGCTGTGGAATTCTCTGGGAGAGACCCCCCAGCCAAAATCCACGTCATTGGGGTGAGGGGTGTTGCACCCAGTCACATTCCAAGGATTTCAAGGAATATTCCATAAAAAAATAGGAATTTTTTTGTGCCCAGGGGTGCCATTATTCTCCAACCCTCACAGGCCTTGTCCTATTTTGAGGCTTCTTTGTGCAGGCTTAAATCCATTTTAGGATAATTTTCCTCATTTTTATGAGGGATGGGGCAAGGAAAGAGGGATGGACAGCTGGAATAAAGAATTCCAAGGTTTTCAATGAATATTCCAGGAAAAATTTTTGTGGTCACGGATATTCGGAGCTGTTCCTCTCCAACCCTTGCAGGCTCATCCCATTTTGAGGATAATTTGTCTCATTTTTATGAGGGATGGGGCAAGGAAAAGAGGGATGGACAGCAGGAATAAAGAATTCCAAGGATTTCAATAAATATTCCAGAAAAAAGCAGTAATTTTCAGGAAAAAGCAGGAATTTTTTGTGGCCAGGGGTGTTATTCAGAGCTGTTATTCCCTGAACCTTATAGGCCTCATCCCATTTTTAGGAGAATTTGTCCCATTTTTATCAGGGATGGGGCAGGAAAAAAGGGATGGACAGTTGGGCCAAGTTATTCTGAGGTTTTAAATAAAGAATCCAGGAAAAAGCAGGAATTTTTTGTGCCAGGGATGTTATTTGGAGCTGTTCCTCTCCAATCCTCGCAGGCCTCGTCCCATTTTGAGGCTTCTTTGTGCAGGCCTCAATCCATTTTTAGGATAATTTGTCCCATTTTTATGAGGGATGGGGCAAGGAAAAGAGGGATGGACAGCAGGAATAAAGAATTCCAAGGATTTCAATAAATATTCTAGGAAAAAGCAGGAATTTTCAGGAAAAAGCAGGAATTCTTTGTGGCCAGGGATGTTATTTGGAGCTGTTCCTCTCCAACCTTTGCAGGCCTCGGCCCATTTTGAGGCTTCTTTGTGCAAGAAAGATTTTTAGGATAATTTGTCCCATTTTTATGAGGGATGAGGCAGAGAAAGAGGGATAGACACTTGGAACAGGTTATTCCAAGGATTTAGATTAATATTCCAGGAAAAACCAGGAATTTTCAGGAAAAAAAAAAGCAGGAATTTTTTGTGGCCAGGGATGATATTTAGAGCTGCTATTCCTCAAGCCTTGCAGGCCTCATCCCATTTTTAGGATTATTTTTCCCATTTTTATGAGGGATGGGGCAAGGAAAAGAGGGGTGCACAGCAGGAATAAAGAATTCCAAGGTTTTCAATGAATATTCTAGGAAAAAGCAGGAATTTTCCAGGAAAAAGCAGGAATTTTTTGTGCCAGGGATGTTATTTGGAGCTGTTCCTCTCCAACCCTCACAGGCCTCGTCCCATTTTGAGGCTTTTTTGTGCAGGCCTCAATCCATTTTTAGGATAATTTGTCCCATTTTTATGAGGGAAGGGGCAGGAAAAGAGGGATAGACACTTGGAACAGGTTATTCCAATGATTTCAATGAATATTCCAGGAAAAACCAGTAATTTTCAGGAAAAAAAAGCAGGAATTTTTTGTGGCCAGGGATGATATTTAGAGCTGCTATTCCTCAAGCCTTGCAGGCCTCATCCCATTTTTAGGATTATTTTTCCCATTTTTATGAGGGATGGGACAGGGAAGGAGGAATGGACAGCTGGAATAAAGAATTCCAAGGTTTTCAATGAATATTCCAGGAAAAAACAGGAGTTTTTTGTGGCCAGGGATGTTATTCAGAGCTGTTATTTTCCAAGCCTTGCAGGCCTCATCTCTATTTTAGGATTATTTTTCCCATTTTTATCCGAGATGGGGCTGGAAAACAAGAAAATTGGTGGAATTTGGAGAGTTTTGGAGCCTGATTTTGGGAATTTTAACATGTTTGGAACCTGATCCTTGGAAATTTTAGGCTGCTATTTCAAAATTTCCATCTTTTTTCCACACAAATTCCAGTTCAAGGAGGGGTTGAAGTGCTCAGGTTTAAAAATCTTCTGCAGTTTGGAATAAATCAAATTTATAAATTCAATTTTTTTAATTTTATGTTATTTCATATTATTTTATTTTAAAATATTTTCTAGATTTTCTAAATAAATTTTATTTTGTAGAGTAAATAAATACATAAATAAAACATACAACACGTATATAAAATAATAAAAATATGAACATAAAAACATATAAAAATAATACATAAATAAAATTTGGTTTATAAATCAATTTTATAAATACATTTTTCTTCCTTTTAGGGATTGGGGAAATTTGGCCTGAACAGAATTTATGATATTTGGAAGCTCAGCCTGCCTGCAGATGTCAGGAAAAACTGTGAGTATTCCCTTTTCCTTCTTTTTTCCAGGATTTTTTTAGGTTTTGCTGGAAATCAAAACAACAACAACATCTCTAATAATCACATATAATTTCTATATTATATATAATTTTATATGATCCATTATATATATTATAATTTACTAATTAACCCTGGTTACTTTGATATTTCCCAATTAATTTTTTAGTTGAAACCTCATTTTTTAATGGTTTTATCACCGGCTGAGCTATTTTGGCTGCTTAATTCCAGAAATCCCAAAATTTGGGAATTTTTGTCAGGCATCTTTTCCCATCTTTCCACAGAGATTCCTTATTTTCAATGTAAGTAAACCCAGAATTTGGGATATTTTCCCCAAAAATTTCCCAAAAAATTCCCAGAAGTTGTTTTTAATTTATTTTCAGTGGTCCCTGGATTGTTTTGGGTGTAAATCTCCATTTTAAAAATTTCCTTTAAAGTATGGAATAAAATTCAGGAAAAATTCAGGCTTTCTTTTATAGTATAGAATAAAATTCAGGATAAAATTCAGGATTTCTTTTAAAAATGGAATAAAGTTCAGGATAAAATTCAGGCTTTCCTTTATAGTATGGAATCAAATTCAGGATTTCCTTTAAAACATAAAATTCAGGATTTCCTTTAAAAATTCAGGATAAAAATTAAGGATTTCCTTTAAAATATGCGATAAATTTCAGGATTTCCTTTAAAATATGGAATCAAATTCAGGATCAAATTCAGGATTTCCTTTATAGTATGGAATAAAGTTCAGGATTTCCTTTAAAATATGGAATAAAATTCAGGATTTCCTTTAAAGTATGGAGTAAAATTCAGGAAAAAAATCAGGATAAAATTCAGGATTTCCTTTAAAATATGGAATAAAAATCAGGATAAAATTCAGGATTTCCTTTAAAACATGGAGTAAAATTCAGGATAAAATTCAGGATTTCCTTTAAAACATCAAATAAAATTCAGGATTTCTTTTAAAATATGGAATAAAGTTCAGGATAAAATTCAGGCTTTCCTTTATAGTATGGAATAAAATTCAGGATTTCCTTTAAAATATAAAATTCACGTTTTCCTTTAAAAATTCAGGATAAAAATTAAGTATTTCCTGTAAAATATGCGATAAATTTCAGGATTTCCTTTAAAATATGGAATAAAATTCAGGATCAAATTCAGGATTTCCTTTAACATATGGAATAAAAATCAGTAAAAAATTCATGATAAAATTCAGGATTTCCTTTAAAATATGGAATAAAAATCAGGAAAAAATTCATTATAAAATTCAGGATTTCCTTTAAAATATGGAATCAAATTCAGGATCAAATTCAGGATTTCCTTTAAAATATGGAATAAAAATCAGTAAAAAATTCATGATAAAATTCAGGATTTCCTTTAAAATATGGAATAAAAATCAGTAAAAATTCAGGATAAAATTCAGGATTTCCTTTAAAATATGGAATAAAAATCAGGATCAAATTCAGGATTTCCTTTAAAATATGGAATAAAATTCAGGATCAAATTCAGGATTTCCTTTAACATATGGAATAAAAATCAGTAAAAAATTCATGATAAAATTCAGGATTTCCTTTAAAATATGGAGTAAAATTCAGGATCAAATTCAGGATTTCCTTTAACATATGGAATAAAAATTCAGGATAAAATTCATGATCAAATTCAGGATTTCCTTTAAAATATGGAATAAAATTCAGGATCAAATTCAGTATTTCCTTTAAAATATGGAATCAAATTCAGGATCAAATTCAGTATTTCCTTTAAAATATGGAATCAAATTCAGGATCAAATTCAGGATTTCCTTTAACATATGGAATAAAAATCAGTAAAAAATTCATGATAAAATTCAGGATTTCCTTTAAAATATGGAATAAAATTCAGTAAAAAATTAATGATAAAATTCAGGATTTCCTTTAAAATATGGAGTAAAATTCAGGGGAAAATTCAGGCTAAAAATCATCCCTTTAAAATCTAGGACCAGCAGATGATATCTTTAATGGACATAACAAAAGATTCCCCAATTTTCCACAAACAGCTGATTCCATGAATATAATTCCCACTTTTTGGCGAGGTGACCTGCCTGGAAAACTTCTCTGAGAGCTGGAGAACGAGGGAGACTGATCCGGGATTGAAAAAAAAATAGAAATAGAAATTAAAAAAATAGAGAGGGAAATGAAAAAAAACCAACCAAACCATGAAATAAATCATAGAAATGAGAATAGGAATTGCAAGCTGTGAAATAAGTGGCTCGTGCTCCATGGCAGTGAAGCTGGAGATCGAGGATGCCTTCATCGGGCGGTGGGCGGAGGGCGCGGGGCTGCCGGGGCTGAAGGAATACGCGGCACACGTGGACGACAGGGAGCTGGAGGTGAAGATCGCCCTGGTGGAGAGGTACAGGGACAGGATCCCGGCACTGGTGAGCAGCATCAGGAACAGCCACGTGTCCCACCAGGGCCTGGCAGGTCAGTGCAGGGCCCAGGGGAAAACTGGGCTGGGTCTCCATCCTGGGAAAAGGCTCAGCGGGCTGGGTTGGGGTTTTGGGGAGAACGGGGATGGGATTGGGAGGGTTTGGGGTTGGAATTGTTCTGCTCTACAGGCAGCTTGGAGAGCTGGGAATGTTCCCCTGGAGGAGGGTCCAGGGAGAGCTTCCAGCACATTGCAGGGGCTCCAGGAGAGCTGCAGAGGGGCTGGGGCCAAGGCCTGCAGGGACAGCACCCAGGGAATGGCTCCCAGTGCCAGAGGGCAGCCAGGGATGGGATCTTGGCAATGAGGAATTCCTGGCTGGGCTGGGATTGCCAGAGCAGCTGGGGCTGCCCCTGCATCCCTGCAGTGTCCAAGGAAGGATTGGAGCAGCCTGGGATAGGGGAGGTGTCCCTGGAATGAGCTTGGAGGTCCCTTCCCACCCAAACCATTCTGGGATTTGGGACACTCAGAATCCATCCCGAGGGATTTTTATGGAAGTTGGGGATGGAAAAGGGAAGGGAGACCCTTCCTGGAGTCCTGAGGTTCCCAGTGGAGCCCCTGGATCCCAAAATCCCTTCCTAGAGAGGAGTCGGGGTGGGGATGGATCCAATCCCAGGCTGGGAGAGCTGGGAATGGAGGGAATTCCCTGGAGAGGGAGACTGGGCTGGGATTTTGGGAAGGGATTCCCAGAGCAGCTGGGGCTGCCCCTGATCCCTGCAGTGTCCAAGGCCAGGCTGGACATTGGGACAGTGGAATGTGGAGCCCCTGCCCATTTGGGATTCCTGTTGGAATCTGGGGAAAGAAAATTCCTCCAATATTGAGCATTCCTGTTTGGGAATGTGGCTGGAGCTTGGGATGCCAACCAGGAATTTCCCTTGGTACAAATTCCCTTCATCCATCCTGATTCCCCACAGAGAAGCTTGGCTCCTGATTTAGCTCTGGGAGAAGGGGAATGGATGCAGAATGAAATGAAACAAAAATTCCCATTATTGCTGCCAGGATTGGCCATTTTTCCTTGTTTTTCCCAGATGTTCTCATCGGGACCGTGCACCAAGCCAAGGGCCTGGAGTTCGACACCGTTTGTGTCGCCGATGATTTTGTGCAAATCCCTTTTGTCAGTGGGGCCTTCCTGAGGAGAATGAACATTGCTCTTGGTGAGGGACACCAGAAAGGGGGAAAGGAATTGTGGTGAGGGGCTGGAGAGTGGGGATGGAGCTGGGAAGGGTCTGGAGAACCAGGAGAGGCTGAGGGAGCTGGGAAGGGTCTGGAGAACCAGGAGGGACTGAGGGAGCTGGGAAGGGTCTGGAGAACCAGGAGGGGCTGAGGGAGCTGGGAAGGGTCTGGAGAACCAGGAGAGGCTGAGGGAGCTGGGAAGGGTCTGGAGAACCAGGAGGGGCTGAGGGAGCTGGGCAGGGTCTAGAGAACCAGGAGGGGCTGAGGGAGCTGGGAAGGGTCTGGAGAACCAGGAGGGGCTGAGGGAGCTGGGAAGGGTCTGGAGAACCAGGAGGGGCTGAGGGAGCTGGGCAGGGGCTGAGCCTGGAGCAAAGGAGGCTCAGGGGGCCCTTGTGGCTCTGCACAAGTCCCTGCCAGGAGGGCACAGCCGGGGGGGTCGGGCTGTGCTCCAGGGAACAGGGACAGGAGCAGAGGGAACGGCCTCAGGCTGGGCCAGGGCAGCTCAGGGGGGATTTTGGGGAAATTTCTCCATGGAAAGGGGGTCAGGCGCTGGAGCTGCTCTGGCACAGGGGTGCAGTCCCCGTTCCTGCAGGGATTTCAGGCCCTGTGGATGTGGCACTGGGGACATGGGTGACCCTGGCAGTGCTGGGAATGGTTGGACTCCATGTCTTAGAGGCCTTTCCCAACCTGAATAATTCCATGGATCCCTGATTCCACCATCTTGTCTCCAAACAGAACAAGCAAAGGAAAGGTCAAGGCTTTATTTTTGTTCTGTCCCTATTTTTAGGGCCCTCCCAGTGATTTTTCCCATTAGAACAACTTCTCCCTCCTTATTCTCCTGCACACCTTGTTCCAGCCCTATGGATTCTCCCATTCCATAAATATTCCCACAGCCAAGCTTGGAGCTGTGTAGCAGCAAAGCCCAATCCAGCCTGGGGAAGCCACTGCTGCCCTGAGGCTCCTGTTCTGGAATTTCTCCCTTCCCAGTGAATTCCCAGTGGGAATCCAGGGACTGGGAAGCTCCTCCAGAGCCCAGCCTGGGCTCCAAACAGAAAACAGGAATCTGGGATTGGCTTCTCCAGCCATGCAGAGGGGAGGGAGAAATGTGGGGTGAGGCAGGAGCTGCAAACACAAATTCCTGCTTTCCCAGAGAAACCCCCACTGTCCTTCCAGAGCTGGATCCTGGAGTGGTTTTGGCTTGGAAGGGACCTTAGAGCCCATCCAGTTCCATGGGCAGTGACACCTTCCATTGTGCCAGGGTGCTCCAAGCCTCATCCTGGTTGAGGCATTCTTTTCCAGCCTCAGTAATTTGGGAATTCTGTGTTCATACCCCCATGAGAATGCCCAGAGCATCCAGGTTATCCAGGGAATGAGCCCCTGGAGAAGAGGGAACAGCCTCAGCCTGGGCCAGGGCAGGTTTGGATTGGATATTTGGGAATTTCTCCATGGAAAGGAGCCCCCAGCCATCCCAAATCCCTCCAGGCTTTGTTTTCCTCCTCCTCCTGTCAGGACAAGCAGGAGTGGGAATGTCCCAGGTCTCCTCCCAGCTTTCCATGGAGACAGAGCCTGAAATCCTGAGCAGGAAGAAAATCAGGATCAGATTCCCACCCCAAGCACATCCAGCAGCACAAAATGCCAGAGATCCATCCCAAATGGAATCCTGGAATGGTTGGGCTGGGAAGGAGAAGCATTGGAAGGAGCAGAGAGCTGCTTCCCCCTGTTCCCTACACCCATGGATTCTGTCCTCTCTCCTAGACAGGACCCCTGAGGACGAGTGGAACCTGCTCTACGTGGCTGTGACCAGGGCCAAGAGGTGCCTGCTGCTGTCCAAATCCCTGGAAAACCTTCTCTCTCTGGCTGGAGTGAGTGAAACCTTCCAGGACCAGGGAATCCTGCTGTGGGGTGACACAGGCACCAAAGGATTCTCCTGGGATTCATTCCCTGGGCTGCTCCTTGTGCTGGCATGCACCAGAGTAGCAGGAATCACTTTTATTCCTGCATTTTGCTGCTCCATCAGAGGTTCCAGCAGGAAGACACAGGATTGCAGTGGGCTTTTTCCAGAGTTCTTGCATTTGGATATTGTTTTCCACAGATCCTGGGTTTTTGTCTCCATGGAAGTGTGGAGGTTCCCTTTTCCCTGCCTGAAGGAACTTCCAGCCCTTTCCTTCATTCCCCCTTTCCTTCATTCCCCCTTTCTTCATTCCCCCTTTCCTTCATTCCCCCTTTCCTTCATTCCCCCTTTCCTTCATTCCCCCTTTCCTTCATTCCCCCTTTCCTTCATTCCCCCCTTCCTTCATTCCCCCCTTCCTTCATTCCCCCCTTCCTTCATTCCCCCTTTCCTTCATTCCTCCCTTCCTTCATTCCCCTTTCCTTCATTCCCCTTTCCTTCATTCCCCTTTCCTTCATTCCCCTTTCCTTCATTCCCCCTTTCCTTCATTCCCCCTTTCCTTCATTCCCCCTTTCCTTCATTCCCCCTTTCCTTTATTCCCCCCTTCCTTTATTCCCCCCTTCCTTTATTCCCCCCTTCCTTTATTCCCCCCTTCCTTTATTCCCCCCTTCCTTTATTCCCCCCTTCCTTTATTCCCCCCTTCCTTTATTCCCCCCTTCCTTCATTCCCCCCTTCCTTTCCTTCCTGCCATTGCCTTCTGCTGGAGCTCTTTCACCACCAGGAATTTGGGGTTTTGTTCCTTCTTTAAATCCCATCATGTTCCAAGTCTCTTCCTTAGGGGCTAAAGAAATTATGGAGCAACGTTCAGCTTCCCTCAGCTGCCTCTGAGGTTGAAATTCCCTTTTTTCTGTGTTTCCCAGGAGCGTTTCCTCCGGGTGGAGCTGCTGAGTGAGGCTGGCAAGGACAAAGATGGGGCTCCTGTTGCTTGTTGTGTGCCAGGATGTACAAATTCCCTGGAAGTCACCTCTGGGCTGGTGGTGAAGAAGCTCCCGTTGACTCACGTACGTCCCTTCCCTGGGATTTGGGATTTGGGAGCCTTCCCGAGCCATTCCAGTCCCTGTTCTGAGCAGGGATCTCAGCTCCCCATCCACTTCCTCGTGCTCACAACCAGGAGTGAATTCCAAGGGTAATTCCAGGTCGTGTTGCAGTTCCCACAAATCCACTCCATCCCAAAGATCCCATCTGAGACCTCAGGAGGGTCCAAGTGTGGGTTTTGCTGTGTCAGATCCCACGTGTGCCCCTTGGAGCCCATGGAATCTCCAGGTGGGGCTGGCCCAGCAGCCCTGGCCCAGGGACAATCCAACCTTTGGGGCCAGGCCTGGCTCTGGGCCCAGCTGGATCCTGCCCAGAGGGGCTGGGAAGGCCGAGCTCCGCAGGGAGCACGAGGTCACTCTGGGGAGCTCCATGGCCAGGACAGGGGCCAGGACAGGAGGGAGCAGCCTCAGGCTGGCCAGGGCAGCTTCAGGGGGGACCCTGGGGACAATTCCCCATGGAAAGGGTTTCCAGGCATGGCACTGGGCTGCCCAAGGCAGGGCTGGAGCTCCCATTCCTGGGGGGGTTCCAGAGCCCTGTGCCTGTGGCACTTGGGGACAGGGGTGTCTGATGCCTCAGGTTTGGCTTTTATATTTTCACATTCTGTGCTGCTTTAGTGTCTGGGCTTCATATTATGGGATGGTGAGCTCTGTGCACAGAGCAGGGAGACAAAACAATTCCTGCTCCAGCTGGGCACCAAGGACAAATGCCCCAAATCTCAGCCCAGGAGCACAAACCCCGTGGGCTGGAGAGAGAAAAACAAGCAGGGTGGGACTGCAGGGGCTAAAGCTGGGATGGGACAATGAACTGCAAGATGCAAATGGAGCAGAACTGATCCCAGGGAGAGACCCCGGGAGCGCTGGTGCATTTTGGGGCCATTTTGGTTCATCTTGGGTGCAGCCCTGGCTGGGCTCTGGTGCTGCCCAAGGTGCATCCATGGAGGAGATCCTTGGAATGAATCCCTGCTTTATTCTGGGACTCTGCCCAGCCTCTGCCCTAGCTCAGCCTGCACAGGGCATCAGTTCACCTTGGAATAGCTGGACTCAGTATCCTTAAGGATCTTTTCCAGCCATTCCACAATTCTGTGTGGGATTTCCTTGCTTTGGGCACAGCATGGCTCCCTTCCTGGGATCGTGGCAGAGCTGGGAAGCCAAGGTTGTGTTCCTGCAGCTTCCTCTTCCCTGAAATCTCCTCTTTTCCTCCCACAGAGCGACAGCAGCCAGGATCCAGGGGGATTCCTCTGCCAGGCTTGCACCTGGCTCTTCTTCAGCTCCCTGACTCCACTCACCTCTTACCCAACGATCCAGGAGGGGCCCATCCAGCTCTAACAAAGCTCTCCAGCTTCCCAGAGCTATCCTGGATGTGGGACAGATCCTCTTGGCACATTCCAGCTCCAGAATCAAGTGGAAATTGGAGCAGGATTTCAGCCCAGCTCCAGAATCAAGTGGAAAGTGGAGCAGGATTTCAGCCCAGCTCCAGAATCAAGTGGATGCTGGACAGGATTTCAGCCCAGCTCCAGAGGGACTTGCAGGCTCCCTGGGGATGCCTTTCCTCCAGCCCTGCCTCATCCTCCAGGAGCTGGGAATGGGATACCCAGAGGAATCTGCACTTGAGGAGTGGATCAGACAGAGCAGGGTTCATTCTGGAACATTCCTTCTCTTCTTTCTGTCACCAGTGTCCAAACCTCCTGAATATCCCATCATTCCTGGAAATCCCTCTGACCCACTGGAAAAAGAGGAAACTCAACACTGGAAAGTATCCAAAGAAAGTTAATTTCTTTAAAATGAACCATTCCTGCCCAGCCCTGGGAGGAAATCATAAATCTCTCCCAGTTCATTCATTTTCCATCCTTGCAGCCAAGGGGTTTCCCTGCATTCTTTCCCTTCTCCCTGCAGCCAACCAGGAAGGAAGAAATGAGGCAGCAGCAGAAAAATTCCTTTGGATTGGTTCCAGCCAAACTCAGGGACAAACTGGAGAGCGGTTTCCAATCCTAAAATTAAATGTGTAGCCAAGAAAAGCCTCAACACTTCCTTTGTGTCTCTTGCCTGCCCTTAAACAGCCTTTGTTTCCCAGGAATGCTCAGGTGGATCACACTCTGTGCCTTGTGCCACAACTCCAGAGCCTGTGCCACAGGAAATGCAAACTGAAAGTGGTTTCAGGAATGTGTCCTGGAGCCCTGGGCTGTGCCTGCTGCAGGAATCTCAGACATCCTGCTTTGCTCCATCCATGGAGCTGCTTCCCTCCCTCTCCTTTCACTTTCAAAGCTGCCTCCAGGAGTGCATTCCCAAACCCTTGGATGTGGATGGAAGCACAAAGCCTGGAGCAGGCAGTGGGTCAGGCACCTGCAGTGCTCCCTCCCAGCCTCTCCTTGTGCCCAGTGCCTGGCACCCATCCTGGATCAAAGGCACCAACAGGACAAGAGCAGCCAGGAAAAGCCGTGGAATTTCAGCTGTTGGATCCCTGCAGCTTCCCAAGCTTTTAGAGACCTGGCAGCTCCAGAGGATGGGATTGAACCCTTCATTTCCATGGAATGTCCTTGGTGCTGTGGGCATGGATTCACCCCAACCCACTCCTTCCCATCCAGTTAAGAACCCAATGCTGGGTTATTTTTTATATAAAATATATTTATTTATACATAAAAATAAAGAGCTGCCTTTTCCATAGTGTAAGGAAACAAGTGGATAAAACCTGGATAAGGAAACAAGTGGATAAAACTTGCTGATGGATAAAGGGAAAACCCACGAAGGAAAATATTCCTAAATTGTGTTTTTGGTCCTTGATGGTGTCTGTAGAGAGTCTGGTCCAGCCTGGATTCCCCCTGAGCCACTGGGGTTGGGATCCAGGGCTGGGATCAGGGCTGGGAGTGCTTCCAAAGGATCCCTGAGCTCTCTGTGGGGTGGGATGGTCCCAGCACCTTTGGCTCTGCCTCAGTGGCTGCAAGAGAGCAGGAAAGGGATGAGGATGTGGGGAAATGCTTGGCTGGGTCTCTCCAAGTCTTATTCCTGGATTTGGGGAAAAAGGCAGGAGAAGGATGAGGATGTGGGGAAATGCTTGGCTGGGTCCCTCTCCATCCATTTTCTTGATTTGGGGACAAAGCTGGGAAAGGGATTGGGGAGCTGGAAACAGAGGGCAGGACAAAGCCAGGGCTGCACCCAAGATGAACCAAAATGGTCCCAAAATCTTTCACTTTTCTTGATTTGGGGACAAAGCTGAGGATGTGGGGAAATGCTTGGCTGGGTGCTCTCCATCTGATTTCTGGAATTTGGGGCAATTTGTGGACAAAGCCAGGAGAAGGATGAGGATGTGGGGAAATGCTTGGCTGGGTCCCTCTCCATCCATTTCTGGGATCTGGGGACAAAGCTGGGCAAGGGATGGGACAGGTGTCCAGCCAATCCAACTCTGTCCATGCTCCTGGACAGGGAGTGGGAATTACCTGGGCCAGGGCAACTCAGCTTCATCCCAAACCCCATCCCAACAGCCCAACCCTCTCCCTGCCCACCACCAGCATCCCCAGGGCAAATTCCCCCAAATGCCAGCTCCCAGTGCGGGACAGCCGCCCACCTTTGGGGTCATCCATGGGAATCATCCGTGTTCAGGCTGGGAAGAGCAGCCTGGCTGCTCCATGTGCTCTGCCACCCTGGGGGAAGCATCCAGAATTCCAGAATTCCATCCTCCGGCATCCCTCGGCATGCTGGGTGTGCCCAGTGTCCCCAGGGGGGGTGCTCAGCCCGTGGGGACAATGACAGGAGGCGCCACCTCCTCATTCCCAGAGGGAATTCCCTCCATGGGAACGTCTGCCTCTGTCACCACGTAGCCCTGCCTGCTGCATCTGTGGGGGGACGAGGAGCATCAGTGGCATTCCAAGGCTTTTCTTTGGAAAGCACAGAAGCCTTGGAACACTCATTGCTGGGGTTTGGCACTTACTTCCTCCTCCTCCTCCTCCTCCTCCAGCAGCAGATGGCCGCAATTCCGATGGCCAGCAGCACCAGGAGTCCTGTGGGGTGGACACTCGGGGTGAGGAGCATCTCCCAACCCAGGGCTGAGGAATTCCACCAAAACAGCTCCAGGAGGAGCCAACACCACTCCAGGCACCATCACAAGATCCCTCCCCACCCCTGGAGGGAGGGAATTGGGAATTCTTCTTTCCAGGAAGAAATTTGGGTGCTGAATCCTTCCCCCGCTCAGTGGCATTCCCATTGGCCTTGGAATAAAGCTCCCACAGCCCCCAGAAGGGATTTTAAGCTTAAAAAAATTGAAATAAGCCCCTGTTTCCCAAAGAAGTTTGTTGTTTGTTTTTTCCCAGCTCTTACCAACAGAAGAGGCCACGGACTGGATGGAAACTGGAAAAGAGGAGAGAAAAGGAAATTTTGAGCTGCAAAGGTAGGAAAGGGGTGGATGCTGGGAAGGAGCCTCACTAGAAAGGAGGTTGGAGAGAAGGAAAATTCCATTGGAAAGGCAAGAGAGCCTTTGTGGATGAAAGAAGGCCCAGGGGAGGTTGGTACTCCCTTGGGAGTCAGCCCAACCTGCGGCATACTCCGTGGGTGGGATGGGCAGCGGGGCTGTGCCCTCTCCCAGCGTGGATGTGTCCAGTGTTGGCACCATCTCTGGTGGCCTGGATCCATCAGGTGCTGGTGGCACAGGTGACTGACTGGGAGCTGGAGAAGGGCTGGAATTTGGGCTGGCACTGGTGGTTCCTGCTGGGAGAACAGTGGGAAATGTTTAAATTCCCAAAATCAAAAGGCGGCACCGTTATTCCCGTGCCCTCATCCAGCAGCCAGGAACGCTGGGATTTCACCCCATGGGGAGGATCTGATCCCAGCACGGGAATGTTGTGGTTCCCACACCCTGGGAGCTGTGGCTTTGCCATGGCCATGGCAGCTCCAACCCCAATCCCAATCTTGCTCCTCACCCCTCTGGGTTGTGCTCGCCGCGCCGGGGGATTCCCTGGAAAGAGCCGGATCTCCTTTGGGAAAATACAACAGGGAGACACCATCAGCTGGGAAAGGAACTCTGCAAGTGGTTTGGTAAATTGGAAAGTCAAAATTATATCCAACATTGAGGTCTGGGGTAAATTCCACAAATTCCAAAAAATGGATATTCGTTGTCAATTTTTAACAATTTTTATATTTTAGCAAAACAAGGAATTAATGCTCACTGCCTTCAAGTCATTAATTACCATTCTGTCTTCTACTGGTTAATAATTTGTCCCTTTTTAATTATCCTAATTAGTCCCTATTTTCAGCCTTTTAATTATGTTTTCCCACACTGGGCACCTCTGGTTTATGCAAAGTCTCTTTGCGGTTTATAAATTCCGCGTTCCTCCTGGTGTTCCATCCTCACCAATAAATTCCTCTCCCAGGTTTTACCTTCCTCCCCAGGTCTGCGAGCACTGAAGGATGCAAGGCCCTAAACTTTTGCTTTTCCCAAGCCATGATCCATTAGGAATTCCATTAGGAATTCCATGGATTAAATTCCTCTCCATAATTCCCCCATTTCTGATTCTTTTGGAAGAAACAGAACTTGGCTGGTGCTCGCGTTTCTTCCCATCCTCCTGTTTGGAGGTGTCCCAGCTCCCCCCGCGGGCTTACGGATGCACTGGAGGGTGGGGTGAGTCCAGCGGGGCTGGGAGCCGTTCCAGAGGATGCACTGGATGAGGCTGGAGGTCCCAGCTTTCCGTTTGTACCCGGGCTTGCAGGAGTAGCGCAGGCGGGAGTTCAGCTCCGTGCGATTCCCGGCGTCGATGTGAGCGTTGGCCACGGCCTTGGGGGGGCTGCAGTGCACTGGGATGGGGACAAAACAGCTGGAATCACAACAGGGACACCAGAGAACCTCTGGCTGTGCTGGGGAGCTCCCCACTCCTCATCCCTGCAAGTGCCCGAGGCTGGGCTGGACGGGGCTTGGAGCAGCAGCCTGGGATAGAGGAAGGTGTCCCTGCCTGTGGTACAGCATGGAATGAGGTGAGCCCTAAATTCCCTCCCAACCCAAACCTTTCCATCATGCTATAAAATCCTGCACAGGGGTGAATATAGGGATTTATCCGTCCTGCAAAAGTAAAGGGACCCTGTGCCTGACACAGGGGATGGAGAAAGGGAAAATATTCCCAGCATTTTTGGGATCACTTGTAGCAGCTGCTCCAGAGGCTGGAGAAAGGGAAAACTCCACTTCTGGCATGTTTGTGGTCACTTGGAGCAGCTCCTCCAGCCAGCAAGGAAGTTTTATGGAATTCTATCCCCTTGCAGTGACTGTCCCAGGCCAGCAGCCCCAGCTGCCTCCAGCTGCTGCATTCCAGCTGTGGTCACTGCCCCCGTCTTTCTCCACTCATGTCACAGCTGGACATGAGAAATTCCAGCTGCTGGTGAGTCCTCCAGCCACTGCCCAGGAGCTTTTCCCCTCTGGAAGGTGGCAGCTGAAATCCAAGTATCCCAGACAGAGGGACAACAGTGGCCTTGGAGTTGTGGCTTTGCTTTTCCCCAAACAAGCTCCTGCTTCCCCTTCAGCCTCAGGATGAGCTCGGTTCCGTACCACAGTGATGAAATTTCCCATCTCTTCTGGTGCAAGGGGCAAAATTTCCTGGTTGTTCCAAAGCTGTGCCAGCACCTGGATCCCTGTGGTGGTGTGGGAACAACTTATCCATGATCCTGGCTGCTGGAAGCTCCCTGATCCCAGTGGGAGCCAGCATGGAGAGATGGAGAGATGTACAATGGGAACAATACAAAATGCAGCTGGGATGGAGCCATGGATGGCTGGGGTGGGATGGATGAGCAGGAGGGAGCAGTGGATATCTGGGATGGGATGGATGAGCAGGATGGAGCAGTGGATATCTGGGATTGGATGGATGAGCAGGAGGGAGCCATGGATATCTGGGGTGGGATGGATGAGCAGGATGGAGCAGTGGATATCTGGGATTGGATGGATGAGCAGGAGGGAGCTGTGGATATCTGGGGTGGGATGGATGAGCAGGATGGAGCAGTGGATATCTGGGATTGGATGGATGAGCAGGAGGGAGTGATGGATATCTGGGATGGGATGGATGAGCAGGATGGAGCTGTGGATATCTGGGATGGGATGGATGAGCAGGATGGAGCAGTGGATATCTGGGATGGGATGGATGACCTGGGGAGAGTGATGGATGGCTGGGATGGGATGGATGACCTGGGGGGAGCAATGGATATCTGGGATGGGATGCACAGATGGGATGGATCCATGCAGGGCTGGGATGTGAAGTATGGAGCAATGGGAAGTATGGATAGGATGGAGCAGTGGATATCTGGGATGAGAAGGAGGGATAGGATGGAATGATGGATATCTGGCATGGGAAGGAGGGATAGGATGGAATGATTGATGGGTATCTGGGATGGGAAGTATGGATAGGATGGAATGATGGATATCTGGGATGGGAAGGAGGGATAGGATGGAATGATGGATATCTGGGATGGGAAGGAGGGATAGGATGGAATGATGGAGGGGTATCTGGGATGGGAAGGAGGGATAGGATGGAATGATTGATGGGTATCTGGGATGGGAAGGAGGGATAGGATGAATGATGGATATCTGGGATGGGAAGAAGGGATAGGATGGAATGATTGATGGGTATCTGGGATGGGAAGGAGGGATAGGAGGGAACGAGGCATGGCCAGGCTGGATGGATGAATTGATGCCTGCCATGGATGGAACGATGCCCAGCTGGGATGGAGCAGTGTCCAGCCAGGAGGAACGCACAGCTGGGCTGGGATCATTGTGGAATGGGAATGCCATGGCAGGGAGGACAGGAGCACGCAGGGATGGGAACATGCCTGTGACAAGGACAGGAGTGTGATGGCAGCGGGGATGGGAGCAGGATGGGAATAGGAGCACAATGGGGATAGAAACAGTAGGAATGGGAACATGATAGAAACAGAGGGGATGGGAGCAGAATGGGGAACTGGAAACAGTGAGAATGGGAACAGAATGGGGAACTGGAAACAGTGAGAATGGGAACAGAATGGGGAACTGGAAATCGTGGGAGTGGGAACAGGATGGGGAACTGGAAACAGTGGGGATGGGGAACTGGAAATCGTGGGAGTGGGAACAGGATGGGGAACTGGAAATTGTGGGAATGGGAACAGAATGGGGAACTGGAAACAGTGGGGATGGGAGCAGGATGGGGAACTGGAAATCGTGGGGATGGGAACAGAATGGGGAACTGGAAATCGTGGGGATGGGAACAGGATGGGAAGGGAACAGTGGGGATGGGAGCAGGCTGGGAAGGGAACAGTGGCACAGCAGCAGTGGGGACAGGAACACAAGGTGCACCCGCAGCACCCAAAACATGCAGAGATAAAAAATCTCCATCCTGAGAACCTCCTGCCCCAATTTGTGGTGCATCCCCAGAACGTGCCAGGGGGAATCTGCTCCGTTTCCGTGCCCAGGTGGATCTGGTGCGGTCCTGGCCAGTGTGGCCAGAGGACACGAGTGACATGGGGACATGCAGGTGCTGAGCGCAGCAGCTCTTGGTCTCCTCTCAGGATGTGGGTGAAATTCCTGGAATCAGCAGTTCTTGGAACTGGGAAATGCCTGCCTGAGGATGTTTCACAACAGTATCACAACTCACCAGACCTGGCACTGTGCCTTGAGCCACTGAAAAACCCTCCCAGTGCCGGCTGCGCCTCCGAAGGGAGCACAGCAGGAAATTCAGCCGGAAACACCAAAAATGTCCAGGAAAATCTGGGATCTGCGAGCTCTGTTATTGCCTTCCAGCTTTTAAACCTCCTCTCCTCATCCCAATCCCTCCAAAGAGGGGGTTTTTAACAGTTGGTTGGAATGTCCTCTTGTAAAAAATGCCCAAGTTGTTCCCACAAGATCCCAGCAGCACCGCTCTCCAGGATCACCATGCCATGTTTCACACCATCCATGCATTTCAGCTTGTTTGATGAGACAGACACATTCCAAGGGGGAAAAGGGGAGGAATCAGCTGAAGGATTTAGGCTTTAATCCCTCAGGAATGAGTTGGAATTTCCCATGGATGGATCATCCCAGGTGCTCAAAGACTCATCCCAGGCTTGGCCAACCTCCCGAAGGAGCTGCGGTGCCAGGACTGACCATCCCAGGAAAACACCTCCAGCTGCCTTATTTCCATCTGGATTCCCTGCATCCTGCTGGGATTAAATAGCCAGGTTGAAATGTGCCTGATATCCCTGGGTTTTGCATTTCCATGGATTTTTTCTTCTCTTTTTTTTTGTCATTCCCCACCAGTGACCTCCAACGATGGCGGTTGTGGAGGATGAGCCCATTCTGGCACGTTGGGAAGCAGAACAGGGAATACAGCCAGGATGACCCCAGGCATGGAGATGCTGCCATGTGAATCATTCCATGTCCAAATACAGCTTCCCAGGGATGCACAGCCACAGCTGGACACTGGAGAATCCACACCAGGAAAAACTTGGCTGTTCTCCTTCAAAAATGATCAGGAAAAGGTCCAGAGAGGTGGAGGTTTTCTGCTCAAAATTTAAAAGCTATGAGCAAAAAAAAAAAAAAAAAAGTGGAGAAAAGAGGAATTTCACAAATCTGGATGCAAGAAAAATCCATGAGAAATGCCAAAATCACGGAAATAGATAAAACTTCCATGTTTCAGCTCAAAAATATTTCCAGTTGAGCAGGAGAGGACAGGATGCCCAGTGGGAACATCGTGGGATGCAACAGCACATCCCAAACTGTCCATCACGTGAACTAGAAGAAATAAATATTGTTCATTTTCTCTAACACCCCCTAAACCCACGGGTTTTGCCCCAGAGAACAATCCTGGTGGCAGCACTGCTGCCTGGAATGCTGTCGGGGTGTCTGGGACCCGTGGTGAGCAAGGACTTTCTTTGGAGGGCTATTTTTAGCTTGTTCCTGAGGCTCAGGGCCCGTGTTTTTCCAGTGCACGGCACTCTTCTGGCTTCTTTTTGTCACCCAAGACTTTGACATTCCTGGCCATTTGTGTCGTTCTGTTATAAATAGGGGTAAATTCATCTTCCAAGGCTTCAGGAGCCCACAGGAACTTGGAGAACAGTGAGCACTGAAGCTGTCCCAAAGCTCTGCATTCCCTTCCAGCCTTATTTCACAGAATCCTTCACAGCTGCCATATGATCAGCAAATTAAGTATTTCCCAATGGTCTTGCTGCTTCCAGGAGCTCCTGGGAAGATGAACCAAGGCGTAGCTCCAAGGCCCAAGCTGTGATGAGAATTTTCCCAAAGCTCCAAGAGCAACAGAGCTGGGGAAGGGTCAGGAGAGCCAGGAGAGGCTGAGGGAGCTGGGAAGGGTCTGGAGAACCAGGAGAGGCTGAGGGAGCTGGGAAGGGTCTGGAGAACCAGGAGAGGCTGAGGGAGCTGGGAAGGGTCTGGAGAGCCAGGAGGGGCTGAGGGAGCTGGGAAGGGTCTGGAGAACCAGGAGAGGCTGAGGGAGCTGGGAAGGGTCTGGAGAGCCAGGAGGGGCTGAGGGAGCTGGGAAGGGTCTGGAGCCCCAGGAGGGGCTGAGGGAGCTGGGCAGGGGCTGAGCCTGGAGCAAAGGAGGCTCAGGGGGCCCTTGTGGCTCTGCACAAGTCCCTGCCAGGAGGGCACAGCCGGGGGGGTCGGGCTGTGCTCCAGGGAACAGGGACAGGAGCAGAGGGAACGGCCTCAGGCTGGGCCAGGGCAACCTCAGGGGGGATTTTGGGACAATTCCTTCCTGGAAAGGGCTGCAAAGCATTGGGATGAGCTGCCCAGGGCAGGGGTGGAGTCCCCATCCCTGGAGGGATTTAAAACCCTGTGGATGTGGCACTGGGGACAGGGTCAGTGGTGGCCCTGGCACAGCTGGGTTAATTGTTACACTCAGTGACCTCGAAGGTGTCTTTAGCTGTCATGACCCAGTAATTCCAGGGTTTGGACTTTTGGAGAGGCAGGACAATGATGTGACATTCCAGGCTCAGCAGCCATTGAGGACAACTCCCAGTGCCATGGGAAAGCCAGGGAGTGCAGCCAGGCTGAAATCCCACCGTGATGCAGCTGCCATGGGCCCAGCACACAGATCCTGGAAAGCAGCCCCAGCCTCCCTGGACACTGCCAGGAGGTGGTGTGGGAATGCCAGGAGCGAGGTGAGCACCCAGGGAACACGGGGCTGCAGCCTGGGGGGCACAGGAGGCACCCAGGGACAGGTTTGGGAATGCAGGGAGCAGCGTGGGCACCCCAGGTGTGGCATGGGCACCCCGGGTGTGGCATGGACACCCCAGGTGTGGCATGGACATCCTGAGGAGCAGCCTGGGCACCTTGAGTGGGGGCTTGGGTACCCCAGGGAGCAGCATGGGCACCCCAGGGATGCCATAGGCACCTCAGGGATGCCATGGACACCCTGGGGAGCAGCATGGACACCCTGGGGAGCAGCCTGAGCACCTGGAGTAGGGGCTTGGGCACCCCAGGGAGCAGAGCAACCACCCAAGGAAGCACAGAAAACATCTTAGGGATGGCACGGCCACCCCAGGGACAGCGTGGCCACCCCAAATGAGAGTTTGGGTACCCCAGGGAATAGCGTGGGTAGCCCGGGCAGGGTAGCGGGCATCCCGGGATTGGCACCGGCATCCCGGGGAGCAGAGCGGGCAGCTCGGGGATTGGCACCGGCATCCCGGGAAAGCGGAGCGAGCACCTTCGGGACCGGAGCAAACACCTTAGGGATGGCACGGGCAGCCCAGGGAGAGTGTGGGCACCTCCGCGGGAGCTTGGCAGCCCCGGGAGTGGCGCGATGCCCTCCGGAAGTCGAGCAGGCTCACCTGGAGCGGAGCGGGGATCCCGGGGAGCGGAGCGGGCACCCCGGGGAGCGGAGCGAGCACCCTCGGGACAGAGCGGGCACCCCGGGGAAGGCGGAGGGTTCCCGGAAACGGAGTGCGCAGCCCGGGGAAGGCGTAGAGCTCCCCGGGAGGGTGTGGACACCCGGGCAGGGCTCGGAGAAGCCGGTGGCGAGCCGGGAGCCCGGGGCAGCCCCGCTTACCGGTGTCGGCGGCGGCGCGGAGCAGCAGGAGCGCGGCGGTGCCGCAGAGCAGCGGCAGCAGCGGCGGTGCCATGGCACCGGCCCGGGGGCAGCTCCGCGATCCGGGGGCAGCTCCGCGGTCCAGCGGCAGCTCCGCGGCGCTTCCCCGCCGCTGTCGC